TATATATATATATATATCACATGTGACATATATGTGATATATATATATCACGTTGTGATATATATATACACGTTGTTTGTCTGCAATGAACTCTTAAACTACTGAACCGATTTTAATTAAATTTTGCACACTGTGTGTAGTTTCATCTAGCTTGAAAGATAGGATAGTTTATATCTCAATTTTTAATCGCAATATTATTTTATTGAGAATTATTTATTTATTAACAAAGAGTCATGATTATCTCTGTTATAAGGTAATTCGTTGACTTAAAGACGTGTGTATCGGACTGATTGTGAGCCACAACAACGCGTGGTGGAGCACCCCTAGTATATATATGTATGTTGACTTAATGACATTTTATAAAAAAAAAGAAAACTGTAGAAAAATTATAACATTAATTGTTGTAAATTAAATTGAAAATAATTAACCTTTAACATACTAATTTTCAAATATCTTTCTATATCAAGAATATAGTAAGTACATAGGTAACTATTGATTATCATGTCATACGATTCAACTTACGTATAAATATATCTGTATAGATATATAAGCTCTAGAGTATAACAGGCTGAAACGTTGGCCAAAATTCATCAGCATAGTCCCTTGAAGCGATCACCTATATCTCCTACGAGTCCATGGTTATACCAAACGACAAAATTGTGCGTCGCAGGAGCATGATTTCTCTCGGGGATAATACGTAGTCGTTCTCACAGGTGACTACTGTTGGGGAAAGTTTACCTAGGGCTCAACATTGCGATGCGAAAGTAAGGGTCATTGCTGTTTACCGGTCCTCATTCCATCCTTACCCATGGGAACGAAAAACGAAACATTTTACCGAAGAACATTTCCGCATACCCGCATTTACTTTACTTCAAACTATAACAACTATTAGGAAACAACAAAATTTTATCCAATTTTATTTTCAATCGAGATACATAAATACATAATACATGGCATAATTATAAAGTTGTAATATATTTCTGACAATTTACTTTTTCATGCAATGGTTTAGAAAAAATTATAATAATATTAATATTAATTATATTAATTAATACTTAAGGTAGTCTATAATAACTATTATCATCTTGAATATTTTTGATATTTTTTACTAAATAGAGAGAATTTGTTCTGAAATTACTCAAATGAATTAAATTATTAAATCTCAAAGTGATCAATAGCTGCTATTTTTTTTTTTTTTTTTTTATAAAACTTTACGATTTGTTGGCATGAATTAAATCAATTGCCTTCTTCAATCTATCACTGAAAATTGATCAAAGTCAGAACATATTCATAGATTGTGCAGAACCATCGATGATTTTTCTTTTTTCAGGATATTCGTGAATTTTTGGATGGCGCCGTAAACGGAGCTATTTATTTTTCTCTCGGTTCGAATCTGCAAACTCACCAGCTACCCAGTGACCCTTTGAAGGCATTGTGCAACGCCTTGGGGTCGCTCAAGCAAAGAGTTCTATGGAAAGATGTCGGAGACATGGCTATTCAGTCGAGCAACATCAAATTTGTGAAGTGGGTTCCACAACAAGCAGTTCTTGGTATGGCTAGTGTTACCATTTCTTTTTCTTTTTCTTCTTTTTCTTCTTATCCAGTTAAAGGCTAAACTTTGATCAACTACTTTTCCGATATATAATTTTTTATATATTTATTTAGACACAATATACTTAACATTACTTAACACTTTACCGACCGGCAGTCGATTAATCGACTTTTTGTTCTCAGCGCTTACCTATAAATATTGTTTAGTACTAATATCATTAAAATAAAAGATTTTATTAAATTTGGTTATCCTATAATAATACAAAGCGTACAATTTTACCAAAGCATAAGTAAAGGTCATATATTCCTGCGCGACAGTCTAAGCCGAAACCGAGCCGGAGTCTCGAACGATATGCGGCTGAGTGGCCGGTGAGAAGGGCATAGGATTCTCGATTCGCTACAAATCGGTAAAGTGTCAATTATGAGTAATTTAAACTTTCGGCATTCTATTTATTGGCGAATTCAATAGATAATTATTATAAAATTACATTTATAAATGATATTTAGATAAATTTATTTAATTGCGAGTTAAATTCAAATTAGTTCTTTTACTTTTGGTGAATAAAAATGGGGAAAATCATACGTCAATTTAATTTTCAAAGTAGACGATAATTAACAGGGCCCAGTATTTATAATTCTAAAGTTAATAACGTGTATAGGGAAAGGGAAAAACGTTTTGAGCTTCGTAAAGGGCCGAATTTAATGGCGGCACTCTTAGGTTCTCTTGCTTTCAGCGTCTTTAACGAAGTTGCATCCGACTTCGTACGATACCTTTCATTTACAAGAGGCGTTAATTTTCTTTACTCAACGCGGAATGCTCACTTTAAACATTAACCGTCAAACGATTCGAACGTAATTACTTGGAAGATGGCGTTCGCATCTTACACGGCACTTAACAGACAATAGAAAATTTCCCTTTTATAGGAAATTACTTTGAAAGAAGCGTCCTTCTCACGCTATAGTTTTCTTTACCCACAAAACTCTTTCTCTCTTTCTCTCTCTCTCTCTCTCTCTCTCTCTCTTTCTTTCTCTCCCTCTCTCTCTCTCTCTATTTTTCTTTTTCTATCTTACTTTTATGGAATGGTTTCTGCCAGAAACGATTACTAGAACCGATAATTCGTACGAACTCCTTCGAATTGAATAGTTCAATTTCAAGATCTCGTTTTTGCTACTTTTCCATTCGTTCTCAAAGTAAATACTAATAGTGATCTAAAGTTACGAGAGAAAGGAACCGCTTCTAAATAATATATACATCTATATAGACAGTGTACTTATGCATAAGATGTCTTCAGATATGTGTTTTCCAAAATAGGATTCATTTATACTATTATATGAATATAAGATGAACAAATCTGATTGTATAGAATATCAACAAATTTTCTTAACAATAAATTAGTTTGACATTTATGAGAAAAGTAGAAATAAAATGATAATTACTTATAGACACCCAGTAGATTTATCCGATTAGTTTTATCGATCTTATTCGATTTTCATTCGATTGGAAAAAAAGTGGAGGTATCAAAGATACGTTCGTTCTTTTCGAATATCTTTTATCGACCAAGTCAATGTAACGCAAGTCGATGGCCGATAATACATCCAAGTTATCCAGTTTCAAAACTAAGAGCGTAAGTATTCGGTTTTGCGAAACGGTCTTCGGGACTTCCTTGAATCTTCCTTTGGCTCTCGAAGTCTTTAGTATCGTGCGACTGAACTTTCAACTCGAAGTAACTCTTTCTAAAGCTTTAGAATGGCTTTAAATTTCGATCTGTTTGAAATTTATGAAATCTGATGGTAAAAGTACGAGATATATCTACTCTCTTTCTCTCTTTATCTATCTATCTTTTTTTATTTCCTATTTTTTACGATTTTATTATATATTTTATATAGATACTGTGTTGCAACCTTTAAGTTGAACTTTTTATTTAATATGTTATAAATATCTTTACCTTCAATATTTTCGATGTATTTTTCATCATTTTTAAGTAGCGTACTATTGTATAGCTTTTAATTTTAACTCTATACAGTAACATACTATATAACATTATGGATATGTAGTACAACTACTTTACATTAGATTGAACTAGATCAAACTATCTGTTTATCTTTCTTCTCATCCTATCTTATATGCAAACCAATGAGCTTCGCATGTTACACATCTTACCTTCTTCTTTATCTATATAAATTTGTTATTTTACAGATATTCATTTTCCTATATCTTGATTTCTTTATTTAAAATTTTTTTATTATATATCTTATACTTGAAAGTTTACTATTTTATGAAGAAGAAATTATCGTAGTACATATAGATAGAACCAAAATGGAAATTTTGAACCTCTGATATCGGTTCGTTCTTTTTGTCCAACTTCATCCTCTCAACATCTTCTTGTGGTCGTTTGAACGTTTGGGTAAATGTTTGAAAGCAAACTATCGACAAAGCGTTACTTTCACTTGCAGCACATCCAAAGGTGATGGCCTACATGATGCAGGGCGGTCTGCAGTCATTGCAGGAAGCTGTGCATCATTCTGTACCTCTGATAGCCATGCCTTTCTTTGGCGATCAACTTTTCAATGCTAGGAAAATTCTTGATGCTGGCATCGGGCTTACTTTGAACGTTGACACCATGACGGAAGAATTGATCGTACGAACTATCACAGAAGTTGTGCAGAATAAAACGTAAGACTATCAAAATTTAGATTTTATTCATTGAATAGTTAAGATAACCATTTGGGATAGATAATAATAGAATAATAATAATTATTATACGATATATTATTAACTGTTATAATAATTATTACTTATATACATAACACGTGCAATGAGGATGATTTTAATGATGATGCTAATTGTGATAATAGTCATATGACGATGATTCAAATGATGAGATTGATGGAACCTAATATTACTTTAATAATTTAAGGCTTTATTACACATTAGAACGTTAATAATATATATAGTGTTTCCTTGCAGATACTTACACAATATTAAACAAATATCGGCCATTTTAAAGGATGAACTAGTACGTCCAATGGAGAAGGCAATTTGGAATGTTGAACACGTTCTGAAGTTTCCTAATTCTAAACACTTGCGCTATCACGCTCGGGATATGTCATGGATCGATTATTATTCGACGATACTACTGATCCTTCTAATTCTCATGATTTTAATATTCATCACTGGTGCGTGCTTTATTGTTCTTGGAAAAGCTGTAAGAAGTTATTTGCATCTTTATATAGAACACAGTAAATCCAAAAAGGAATGATATCAATATGAACAAAATGTGTTTTAATGATAAAACAAGGAATAATAAATTATAAACTGATAGATATTATTTTAATTTTTTTACTCATTCGAAATTGAGCCAACTATTTAAATCACACACGAGATTCCATTGCACGTTCTCAAGATAAATTCGATAGAACGGTAGCATTATTTATTGAATAAAGTGTCAACCACATTTCCATATTTAATATAAAAAAATTTACGATATAACGATACTGTCGTGTCTCTGTATACATACAAAATGTCCCAACGAGAAACGTTCACCTGGATTAGTATGAAATCTAGTGATTTTTCTATAAAATTCGAGATAGATATATTTTGTTTTCAAAAGGGGAGAGATCCTTGTCATAATTTACCTACTTTTAAACTAACCCCCTTCAAAATCCTAAATGGCTAAAAGAATTAAGTGACATACCATTTGAAATAATACTTAAATCTCCTTACAATGGTACTATTCTTGTAATATAAATTATGGTTTCGTAGAAAATGAATTTCTAAGTTTCAAATACAATAAAATATAAATTTAATTTAAAAATTAATCTTATTTTATTTTCAAAATGCTTATATGATCTTTAATGTCGCGGATCTTTCGTCATGTGGTAATAAAATTTTCGTTTAATAATTGAACATTTTGCTATTCTAACATATTCTCGTTATTTTGGATGATTTCAACAGACCAACATAGTTCTCAAGTAAATTAAAATATGATTTTTTAGTCAAATTATTTCTATAAGAAAAGGTGACTAATAATAAATGTCACCCTATTAGTTGCAATAGAACTTCTGCAGTGCATAATTGAAGAATACTGCTGAATAATAGCAAAAGTGCAGAATAGTTTTTAATGTACCATTCTGATAAAAATTTTATCAAAGCATTAAAAAAAATACAAATTATTTTCATAATTAAATTTGTATTTCACATTATATTCAAACATAGAAACCCTTTTTTTTTTTAACTCGAATGTACCATTTTTTGGTAATAAAGATTGTTGACCAATTGATTTTATCAACCGAGATAAAGGCTTACTGACGACTGCTAAGCAAACAAGTTAGAAATTTATAATATCGGCGGACGAAAAGAAAGAAACCATTGTATAGAAATACTACTGCGTAAATTTTTATAATTATTTTTATTATTATTATTATTATTATTATTATTATTATTTTTATGAACTTTGATACTTCAATAGAAAAACAATATATTTAGTTGAATTCTTAAGATCATTTTATCTTTTATTGACGATATTATTAGTACCATAAATCGATAAGAGTATAAGGAGATTATGGATCTACAAGTTTTCATATGTATGCAATTTAATCGTTTTTTGATTTTATTTCATGCAAGTCAAAGATATTAAAAATATAAAAATATATAAAAAATTAACTAAATCAATTAAGGTATAAATGTATATAATTTTAAATTGTTTCCATCTTAAATACACTATATCAATAATTTTCAAAATAAAAATCTAGTAAACCTAACAATGTATGATATCAATTTACACTCGCTATATAAATTTAATTAACAAATTTATTTCCGTTATTTTTTTTTCAAATATATTTTACATCATCTTAAGATTGGCTTAAGCATTTTATTTACTAAGAGATAACTTTCTAATCATTCTTGCTCGAAATTGCTCTCGATTAGACAATATACGGAAGAAATAAAATATTTAATATGCGTTTAACCTCTTTTAACCTATGAAACACGACCAAGTCAAAGTCTAGTCATACATTAATTTAACTTAAAGCTGATTGATCTTGTCGATTACTTCACAATGATATGAACAAATGTACTGAATACAAAGTGCAATGATTAAAATGCGATTGCATCTTCAATTGAAATTGCAGAATCATTAAATGATTTGACTATAAATATATTCTACATTGTAATTATTATCATTAGTTTCTTGTAATCTTTATATATTATTATTAATATATATATAATACAAACACACACAAATTTTTTATATTATTTTAGTAAATAAATTTTACTTTGTACTTATAAAATTAATAAAACAACGTATTGATATCTGGCCCATTAGCTCAGTTGGTTAGAGCGTCGTGCTAATAACGCGAAGGTCGCGGGTTCGATCCCCTCATGGGCCACATATTTTTTTTCAATTTTTTTCCCTTGTATAATATATATAGTCGTTTATAAGTTTATAATATTAATAATATTATTCTTAATTATTAATCAAAATTAATCTAATAAAATATTTTTCTCTTTAATTGATATCATACACATGATTTATGTCTAAGATAATGAATAAGACTTTATTCATATACATATAAAAGTAATTTATATCTTTCAATTTGCTTAAAAACAAATATTCACTAAAAATAACATCTGATTTTGTTTGGAAGTAAAAATACAGTTCTTGTCGTAAATCAAGTCAAAATTTCTAAAAAAAAAAAAAAAAGATAGTTTAAATATTTAAACTGTTTTTTCGTGACGTCAAACAAATTGTAAAAACAAAATCAATATAATTATGCATTTTCTAGAAGTCATGTAAACGATTAACTTTCCTCGAATACCACTAAAAGTCACGGTCATTTCCTACGAATCGGTATTTCCTTGTGTATACATATCAGCGCATGCGACAACACCTTGGAAAAGAATCATGCAATGATATTGATTACGAGTCAACACGTCTACACATTACAATAATTATAATAATACAAGGATTTCTATTTGTTTTTTCGATATTATTTAAATTGCTTTAAAAATACAAAAAATAAATTTTAATCGTACAGACACGTCATTTCTTGAATTTTCAGGGCTGTACATTGCTCTTCACCTACCATCGTTGATTTTAAAGCGTGTTGCACCTTCTACGTTTCTATAAGCGTATTGTATACGGTGTGCTAAATAAAAATTTCACTAACAATTTACGTAACAAATGTTATTCATTCAATTTGTTCTAATTAACGATCAAAAATTTCTTAATAGTATATAATACATGCTATCAAGAATTAAAATTAATTTTTAATTTTTATTAACATGTAATGCATTGAAGTAAACCACTTTTTATTAATCCTTCTATGCATAGGATAATAAAAAAACAATAAAAAGTTTCAATCAGAAAATTGCGTAAGTGGATTTTTCAATCAGTAGTCAACTATGCACTTTGTATTCAATTAATGATTAATTGCTGTATGATTTTAAATTGTTGTTAACACCCTATATGCATTGCGACTAAAGGTACATCAAGCTACAACCTTCCTAGAAAGTATCGATCGTTTTAGCAAGTTGAGCTTTCTTTGGTCCGCGTTGACGTCATTCGAAGAATATGATTGGTTAAAGCTCAAGCTAAAGTTTTCCTATTGGTTGACGGACCGGTATAAGCGATGCTTTCACGGTAACCGGCTTCAGTTGTGTTGTTACTCACTCACTGTACACTTGGTAAGTACCTTTCAACAAAAAATTGTCAATTAGTAATTTAATGATAAAACACTTAAGAAAAAACACAAGAACAAAACAATTATATAAGTTTGCATTTGTATTTTGACAAAACTAAAAATTCGAGTTCGTTGTGATAATAAAAACTATATTATAATATTTTTACAATTGATTTTTACAAAAAGTGGATATAGAAAAATATTTTGTTCTCTTTAGAATTCGATAATAAAATAAAAACAAAGTAAAGTATATAAAATACTAGGAATAGGAAGGTGATACAAAAGAGACCTTGGAGTCATAAGCATTCTCACCTTTTGCCATATCTAAATAATGTAACGTAACAAAGGAATCGATGTTTTAACGTCTCATTTCGTTTCTACCTATAATTACGCGAACCTTTTGTGTAAAGCCAATACACATATATACACTCGTGCACATTAACATTGGTAAGAATTTGTTCTCATGTCAAAGTCTATCGATCGTTCAATGACTTCATATAAAAAATACAAAAAATTAGAATTTAATGATAATACTAGAACAATGAAATTATTTCTATCATCGTTTGATAAATATTTAAAAATTGTATCTTTATGAAATTCCAATGAAGCTGCAGTGCATATGCGCGAACGCACCGAAAGACCGCATCGATTTGTTAGGAATAGACAGAGAGAGAGAGAGAGAGAGAGAGAGAGAAAAGAGAGAGACAAAAACAAAGAGAAAGAGAAAGATTGCACAATATGAAAGAAATTCTGTTGAAAATATCATAACGTATGAAGGTATCGAAATTTTGTACACAAAATCAGGGAATAGTTTGACAATGTGAACTTACAATTAGATTATATAACTTTGATTTAAATTATTTAAAAATAAACAAAGTATAATATCTCCTATCATATCGGTTAAGTTTGCGGAATATATAATATTTAGAATTTAGTTAATTCATCATAAATCTAATTTGAATCTAGTAATTGTATAGTGATTTGGTTGATTGCCTCATTTCTGTTAACATTTCCGGCAACAGCAAATATCTAATCAATATAATCGTAACATGTCACAGTTGTTTTATTCTTATGCGCAAGGATAGATCAGAGACTGCGCGTAACGCGAAGGCTTTCTATTAGCGTTAGAAAGGACTAACGTTGAATATTCAAATAATATATCTCAAGGATTTCTATTGATTCTCGTTAGAGGTTAGAAGTTTACTAGCTACTGAGATTTTATTGTGTTTAAGTTGTATGTAAATATGTTTTTATTGTCTCGATATTTAATCGTTACTATATATTACCCTAATTTAATAAATTTAAATTTTTATTTAATATTATTTAAATTTGCAATTAATTAATAATTTAATGATAATTTTTTCAACCTTTGATCGATCATCAGACTGATTATCTATCAAATCGCGAACTTTGACTCGATTAATAAATAATATTTACACACTTGTACGATAATAACAGATAATTAAATGTTTCACCTGTTCGATAAGTCATCAATTTGTTATCTTTTTCAATTATTTATAAATCGATCAATATGTCTAGATAAAAAAAAAAATGTTCTTATTATAAGAAGAATGAATCAAAAATAAAACATTTATATGGATGATATAAAAGGATGACAAGAGTTCATACAAATTTATATCCGAAAATGCTTTATTAAAAAGTACATGATTATAATAAAAATTTTGTTTTGTTTATACAGGAGAATAGTATGTATAAAGTACTTAACAACAAGGAAATCAAACACGAGTGTTCGCGGTCGGGAGGACTGCATGCATATCCTGATCATTTTAGGGAACCTAAAGAGTCATATCTTTAAAAATCCAATCCCAATTCCCCATTCATGAACATTTGAAGTTTCTTGTCCTCTGGTAGGACCAACTTGTATATAGTGTACATAAGATCGCTTGTCTAATTAAAATTCAAACCTGACGAGTCGAATTGCTACGAAGGAAAATAATTGAAAAGTCGTCACGCGGGTTAAAAAACAAACAACATTTAAAAAAAAGCAAAGTGTGAACAATCGCACAAGAGTCTTTATCACGCTGTAACAAAGCACGAAACAAGTAAAAAAATTAATTCAATCTATATCCCATTTATTCCTACCCATCATCCACATTTTCCTACTTACCTTTTGGTAGAATTTGAAAGATAAAGGATTAAGAAAAAAAAAGGATAACATCATGAAGCAAGGACCATCAGAAGATTTGCATATCGGTTTGAAGCTACTTACTGCTGGCACTGCGGCTTGCATTGCTGATTTAGCTACGTTTCCTTTGGATACGGCCAAAGTCAGGATGCAGGTAAGATATTTACCATTTTTTTCCACTTTTTTCTTTACTTTTTTCGTATAACCAAACCACTTGTATGATTATTTTATTGTATACGTATATAATTGGTGATACAAGCATTATTACCACACGATAAAAATTTGTATTCAAATGAATTTTTGAAATTAATGATTATTGTTTTCTTYTTTTTTTTTTTTTTTAGATCGCTGGCGAAGGACGAACAATATTGCTGGCATCGACAGAAGGTTCGATGCTCGCAATGAGAGCAAGTCAGCCAGGACTGTTGGAGACAATGGGGAACATCGTCAGGGTTGAAGGAGCAAGGTACGTTGTCTAAGATCCATTTTAAAATTTAACAAAATTCAATGGGGTAGGTAAAATAACTTCATTTAAATATATATATATATATATATATAGATATACAAATATATACTATATACTTCTATATCATAGTATATATATACAATATACAAACTAGCCGACTATTTTTTTTTTCGTAGTTCTATCGACTCTTTTTAAGATTTCTCTTTATTCGTTTAAACGATTTAATCGTTATTTAAAATCGCTGCATTTACGGCCTCTTCTCACTAATAAAAAAGAAAAGAAAAGGAAAAGTGAATTAAAATTGAAAAAATATAATATACGATTTTCTCGCTTTAACAAAAAACAAAAAATGCACGAATTTTCCTCGAGTCGATGGCTCATTCACATTGAATGCTTTTAAATTCCTTTTTTTTTTTTTGAAAATGCGATCGATCCCTTCGTCACTGCCGAATTCTACAAACGGTCTAATTATACCAATTATGTTATTAACTTATTATAGAAAAATATCCTTTTTTTTCATTCTCAATGAATATCAATATACAATTTTATATTATTATATTTATATTATATTATAGTTTAGCTATAGTTAGGCCGAGTGTGCATTAAGAGAAACTAATCTCGGTAGGAACGACGGAGATCGATTCGAAGCATACTCGAAGCAGATTATAAAAATTAAACAATTGTGGACTTCGATCGGTGAATTGCAAAGTACTCGAAGTGATAACGCTCGTTGACTCGTTCGATAGCTTTTTTCTTCTATTTCATTTATCCGTTCTTTTGTTTTTACAATATTTAGTTCATTTTAAATTCGTATGATTTGTAGAAGCTCTTTCTTTGTGAGTGCCAACAACGAGTATTCCTTATAAGTGTTCTACGTGAATCAAATCAATTGTCTAATAAGAATAAGATAATATTAACCTAAGTAAAAATAAAATTACAAAAAGAAAATAAATATAAAATACACACTATTAGGAGCGTTAGTGGCACTTTTTTTGATTGTTCATTCGATCATTCTTTTCTGCGAAAGTTGCTTTTTGATAAATTTCAAATAAGATTTTTTATTCTTTATATCACAATGCTATTAAAAGAAAAGAAATGAATTATTAATCAAGATAGTAATAAATAGTGCAAAAATTTATTTTTATAGTAAAGCAATGAGATTTGATTTTGTTATTATTTAAATACAAAGCAGCTATCGCGATCGAATAAACGAGTGAAAAATTATTAGACATTTCGGATATTTTCTTTGTAATATCGTTGATTTTAATTCACGCGTTACTTGTTTCCTATGAGTTATATTTATTTTGCCTAACTGCAGTTTAGTTTCGCGATTGCCAGCCCGGCATCTTCTTCCTTGGTTAAGCTTCCAACACGTTTTACTATTATGGGAGACGAGTTTAGTCCCAACTCTCGGCACAAGCTCTCTCTCGATGATACCACGTGGCTCTCGGGCCGTTGCTCTTTTCTCTCGCCTACGTCCACCTAGTTCTTTTAATTAAATTCATTAAAAAAGCAAACAAACAAACAAACAAACAAATTTTTTATTCTAATTCCTATCTAAAAAAAATAGACATTTAAATTAGATTTACATTGAGAATACTTTTACATTATTTCATACAAAAGATAAATTGCTCAAAATCATGAAAGATTATAAAAAAAAAGAAAAAAGGAATAACATGAAAGAAAGAAAAAGATGTAGAATGAAATCCTATTTTTCTATTGTTGAAAGAAAAGAAAAAATCAAACCAAAAGAAATCAAAAAAATGAGGGGTTGCTGTTTGAAAGAACAAAAGGGACTTAGGTAGACAAAATGAGAGAGAGAAAGAGAGAGAGAGGGAGAGAGAGAGAGAAAGAGAAAAGAGAGACGAAGAAATATTTAAGAAAAAAAAAAAAAGATATTTTTGACATCCCGGGGAAAACGTTTGAGGGTAAATTTAGAGGGTGGTGAGCTTGAGCGAGGGTGGTTACAGGAGCCTGTACGGAGGTCTGTCCGCGGGACTCCAGAGACAGATGTGTTTCGCCAGCGTACGGTTGGGCCTCTACGACAGCGTGAAGTCACTCTACGCTGGAATCATCGACGGTACATCCAACAAACTCTCCTAACTTTTCATATATAAATATTAAAAGGGTGCGCGAACACGCACGCCTAAGTACGTACGGGTACTACATAATATATCTCCATCTCCATTTTACTTACAAACACTAACACACACGCACACACGCATACACTCATACATAAAATAATATCATTATTATATATATATATACCAAGTTTTACATAGAAAAATGAATATGCGGTATGTCATCAAATTAATTGAGTGAATTTCATTTTGGAGTTAGTTGGTATTCATATACGAATCGATTAAAGTAATGGTCTGTTTGTTTGTTTTTCTTTTCTTTTTTAATAAATTCCTTTTTTCTTATTTATTTATTCATTTATTATTCTATTTTATTTATTGCTAATGTATTTTATTTTTTATTAAAATCATATAAAATTGAGAAGTATATTAATTTTTGTTTAATAAAATATTTTATCATTTAACTATGATAACAAAAAGATATATTTGTTAAGAAAATTTCTTTTTAATCTATATAAATGTTAATTTATACTCTAAAGTAAAGCACTCAAATATTTTGTGAGTAACCGATAATAATTTTAATATATTTGATTTACTACAGCTAACTCTACAAATTTCTTATCACGACATATGTGCATCGAAAAAGAGAGAGAGAGAGAGAGTTAGAGAGAGTGAGAGAGAGAGAGAGAGAGAGAGAGAGAGAGAGAGAGNAGAGAGAGAGAGAGAGAGAGAGAGAGAGAGAGAGAGAGAGAGAGAGAGAGAGAGAGAGAGAGAGTGAAAGAAAATGATATTAATATAATATACATATATATAATATAATTATTTATATTTCGCGAGCATTGGGTTTCTCGAAAAGAGGAATTTCGTCGCCTTCGTCGTTTTCTTCGTCACTTCGTCGTCCTTCTCTTCGTTAAAAAGGAGGATGATATTATTTAAATAAAAGATAAGCGAGAGACAACGAGAAGGGAGGGGAGTTATCGATTAATAGACAAAAGATTAATCTTTTTATTTTTATCTATACTATACATTTTTTTATATAATAAATCCTATTCTCAATTCTAATCACAGGTGATACTCAAATATTAAATAATTTAATCCTAATTTTGTTAAATGAAATTTAGTTTGAACAATCGCGGCTTATTTAATTTCTGTTTTATTTTTCTCGCAAAAAAAAGCTAATTATTACAATTGTTGTTGCCTGATTAAATAAATTGATTTGTTCGAATATTCAAAAAAAAATTAAATTAAAGGATAATCGCTTAATCTCATCGGTCGAAGATTCTCTTTTCTTGTCACTTCATTTCAAACATTTGACACGTGTTCACGTAATTATTAGTTGACTCGAAGCACAAATATAAAAAAGACAAACAAGTTCATGTCAATAATCTAATTAATTTTAACATTATTAACCGAATCCTTTGATGTTACTAATAACCAACTGACTTCATAGAAAATTTGAAAAACAAAAAAAAAATAGAAATAGTTGTAAAACGCGATTGATGGCGTACTCTAAATCCTAATACCTGCATCCTTTAACATGTGTTTTGACTTTTTTTCTTCTTCTTCTTCTTCTTCTACTTCTTCTCTTCTTAAATTTCGTTCAACCAAATACAAATTTTGTTTCTCGTGGAAGAAAAGATTTTTCATTAGAGGAAATTTCTTTACCGACAGGAAATAACCGGAGCGGTTCGATGAACATTGGTATTCGTGTAATGGCCGGTATGACAACCGGTGCTTTAGCGGTCCTTTTTGCCCAACCGACTGACGTCGTTAAGGTTCGTCTGCAAGCTGGAAACAGTGGAGGTTCGGCAGTGAGATACAGCTCAACTCTTCAGGCTTATAAAAATATAGCCAGTGTTGAAGGAACTCGAGGACTTTGGAAAGGTATCTTTCAGTTTCAGTGGAACAATTGTTCTAAAAATGAAATTTTAAAAAATAATAAATAATTTAAAACGAATAAATATTGTCATGTATTAAAAGGTACTATGCCGAACATCTCCCGGAACGTGATTGTAAACGTTGCTGAGATCGTTTGCTACGACATCATCAAGGACATGATCATAAGCTCTGGTTATCTCCGAGACGGCATACCTTGTCATCTAACGGCTGCAACAGCTGCTGGACTTTGTACCACTCTAGCTGCTAGTCCAGTCGACGTAGTTAAAACTCGCTACATGAACAGCCCACCTGGCGAGTACAAGGGTGCCGTTGAATGTGCAGTCAAGATGTTCGTTCAAGAAGGGCCCGCTGCTTTTTACAAAGGCTTCGTACCCAGCTTTACAAGATTGGTATCCTGGAACATCATGCTTTGGGTCACCTACGAGCAAATCAAGAAACATGTGAAGAAAATTTACGGCCACGAATAAATAATCGTCTTATCTTTGAATTAAGACAAGACGATTATATTTACTAATGCTTAAACACAACACACATAACAAATTATGAGATTCGTCGATTGTCTTTGACATGGAGATTGATAATGTAGTTTGAATTCCCGTTGTTTCGCAACACTATCTGTGGTACATTCCTATAGCATCAGTGTCATTGTTCTTTAGAATCGCGCGTTGCTTCTTGTTCACTATCTATTCTCCATGATCAATGACTATCGTACTTTTTCTCTTTGCTAAACTCATCATCCTATCTCCTATAATCTTTATTCTCATATTTGTTTCTTTATTTTAATAGATACGATCGTACGTACACAAATATTTCATATACGCATGATGAAGCCAATTCATTGCTAATTTCATAAGCAAGATATTATTCTAAATAATCACTAAACTAATTGGAATCTTGAAAAATCTTTTTTGTTTATTATAACTGCGCACTCAATTGACTAAAATTGTAAATGATTTTTTAACGTACGATCGTGAATACAAAATTAAACAAATTGTAGACAAATATATAAACGCATAGATTTTTGCTATTGGATCGGCTTTGAAAAATTAGTAGAAATTCACATGTAACAAATGAAAGATAGATTAATGATAAACGTTAAGCATTGTTACGCGCCATAAAGACAATAATATTCCGTCATTATTTCGATATATTTGCCAATTTGACTGTGACACCGTGATATAAGAATTTTCTGGTTCGTAAATGTTCAGTCGCGTCGATCGATAAATCCTTTATAAAGTATTATCGCGAACGATCTATCTCGTCTCTTATTCAATTAAGAATATGTAACGTGCAACAATCTCGTTTCCGTCAATTAATCTTCATACAGGGGCACAATTTTTCTTAGATCCTCGATCGTGGATTTCTTCTATAGTTCGAGTCTTAAAAAATAAGTTACCGACAATTCGTCATGTAGTTTCCTACATATATTCGATCAATCGTATCTGCTTTATCAAGTATAGGTACACTTTAAACAAAATAGAAGCATTTATCGATTACGTATTACTTGAAATCAGTAATCACATATCTCTCGTTGCCAATATTTTTTAAAAATTACATATACAAATATTTTCTATCAATCGAGAGAAAGAAATTCCTCAAATATAGTATTATAAATCTACTGATTTCAATGTTCCGTAATTAATGCCGATCATATTATTTTATTTATCTTGAATCTTAAGTAAGGATAGATCGAAAAATCTCTGCTTATTGCTTTATTATCGAAGAACAATTTATACCTGCAACGATCGACGATTATTTTTCACTATTAGCGTTCGATTATAACGTATCATCATTTTTTAGTAAGATAAAAATGAAAAAGAAAAATAAGAAAATTTGTGATGTTTATTTAATTGCTGCCTGCTTTGAAACAAAATTAAAATTTCAATTTAACTATATAAGTATATATAAATTTGTAATCACGTATATTTGACGATAGATCGCTGGCCGAACTATCTTTTTTTTTCGAACACGCAAGCATGAATTTGATAACAACAAAAGACAAAAGACACACTTATGAATTTTTATTTTATATTTAGGTCGCTCGCATTTATGTCATATAACTTACCGTTTTCCGCATTCTCACGAATCAAAAATTGACCATAATTATCTCTTCTTGGTATGATTATGATAATCAGTTTTTAAAATGTTTCATATATTTAACACTAGATTTACGAATTGAGCCAATTTGACTCATTGAACATTTGATTATTTTATATATTTATAAAATTTAAATACTATTTTTTGAAAACTTATTGGTTTTTAGTTACGTAATGAAATATACGTAAATATTAGTTCAATTCCTTTACTCAATCCTTTATTCAAACAATGTTATTACGTCATTAAAAAATAATGAACAAAACATCCGTAAATCTAGTGTTAATAATCTCTTTCGAAATTCTTTTCAAAAGTTTTTCTAAGCATGCATATAATATGCGTCACAGCACGTTAAATATTCTTTGAATTTCTTTTTACTTTAGTCGCGTAATTAACGCAAGCACAACAAAAAAATATATATATATATACTATAACTATAGCTGTATTAATAATAATCGTAACACCGTAGAGCAGCACCATTATGTATACCGCTTGTATTAAAACAATTAACGCAATAATAACCAGAGTTTGTTACACTTGGTAACAAACAAGTGATGTTCTCTGTATACTATTCGTGCGATCTTATTCATATTAAAAAGTAAATGAAAAAGAAACTTGAAAAAATAGGAAAAGACAAAAAAAAAAATAAGAAAAAAAAGAAAATTACAAAAAAAAGAAATGTTAAATATATTTAAGAGTGACGTTGAACTTGTAACAGCACACGAGATATCATTTAAATGGTAGATTAGTCATCGTTCCAATTCGATTCGTCGTTTGAATTCATTTTTTTTTTTTTCAATATTTCTATTTCTTTTGATTTTGATTTTGATTATGTTCATTTATTTCATTTTATTTTATTTTATTTCTTTTTATTTTCTATTAAATGTATCACATGTATGTAACTGGTAGCAAGGTACAAAGAGAGAATGCGAGAGTGCGAGCGATCATCTTCATATTATTCTAATATTCAAGTAGATTAGAAGTCTTACATTAGCCGATCGCATGTATATGTGAGCTATTATATATTTGAAAATTCCTACCAAAGATATTGTCAATAGTTTGTCGTTTATTGGAGTAATCGTTATATACTTTTGCTTTCGCGATCAACTCGTAAACGTAATCGTTGGATTTTCTTCGTGTTTAATTTAATTCTTAATAACTACGCTTTGTGATATAAGATTTGAATGAATTACATTTTTGAACTATCAGAAAAATTGTAACAACAGGATTTAAATTCGACACGAAGAATATTCCATTTGAAAAAAATTCTGGTTCCGAGAAATTTCAATTTGACTTTCTTTACAAAGATAACATTATTGTAAATTCGTACAAGACTTTTCAATCGTGCTAACTCGTATGTCGTAGAAGGGTAAGCTTTGTGAACTTTTTTATTTGCACTTTTTCTTTTTTTTTTTAGATATTCGAAACAACAGCTTGTCGTGTGTATGTAGATAGTAAATAAGTGATAAAAGATTTTCACCATTTGTTAAAATTTTTCAATAAATCTTTTTCACAAAATAATGACTTCGTATATGCCCGATTCGGAACCAGAATCGACGTATTTTTCAACAACAATGAGTAAATAATTTATCTTCTGGCAAGTGGACGTTCGATTTACAAATCTTTCAAACTGAAGGAAAGATAAATCCTTAAGTCTCCAAATCAGACTCGTCCGAATCACAACTGGAAGTTACTTCTTCCACCATGCATCCTGATTTTTCAGGAATATTTTCTTCCACTAGAATCCTACAAGAACACAACAACAACAAAACGAATCGATTAATTTCCTGTTATAAATAATTTACCCAAAAAAAAAAACATGATTACAAGTGGAAAAAAGAATCCAAAGTGATTAATGATTAGTCTAGTCAAATTAAATCTCAAACAAAACTTTTTGATCTTCTTTAAATCCTGGAGCAAATTCGTGGTTAAAAATAAGCAAACAAAAACGTGCATCACACGATTTTTAATCTATATTTACGTTTCCTTCGCTAAGGAATCCCAATGATATGATGTATAGCAAGTTTGTCCTGAATGCATTTAGGTTTTCTTCTCATTTTCCGTAGAATACATTTTCGTGGACAGCAATACTCTTCGATGTATCTGTGTTCACCACAATCTTACTTTTTCTAAATCTCAACAAACTCGAATGGGACAATAATTAATCTATTTAATTCATGACGATGTTAGAAAGATTGCAATATTCATTTTCTTCAACCTAATATTGAGTCACGTAATAAAAATATATATAATAATAGTGAAAATATCAAAGTTTGATATACAATTATTAGACTGGAGTTTAAGTTTCAACTTTGTGCATTGACTAAAAATCGAGCAAATATATTGAACAAATAAGTTTAACCTGAAAACGTAAATCTTAAAATCTATATTGCATGAATTAAATTAACATAAAATAACTTTGATAACTTACTTATCAATATTTAAATTTTCATCAGCATCCTTCATCATGGCTAATGCTTGACAAAAGTCACGTCCAACATCTTTCAAATGATCCGTATCGAAATGTAATCCAGCGAGTTTTCCTTGATCGCAACCACAGAAGCTACTCTCCATCGTATAACTTCTGTTAAAAGGATAGAATTTAATGAATTCGTTAATTAAACGATACTTTCCCTGTATGTAATCAAGTAGGAAAGTATATAATTTCAAGTAGCAAGTAATGATATAAAAAGAAAAAGAAAAAGGAAAAGGTTTCAAATGCATAAGGGAGAAGGGAGCAAAAGCTTGTTCAGTAAGCTCGACTGCAGAATCGGTAGAATCGTGAATTCGACCTTGGCCGACCCCACATGTAGACTCATTGCAAGTCAGATCGTTTCTCGAGATGTGATCGGTACTTACCTCGAAATACCCAACTCCCGCCATATGGCAACCCTGGCGGTGGATTCCTTATTTCTTTCTACCTTGAAGGAGCACAACGGCAAAGCAAAAGCCGGTGAAACCTTTTGCATTAAATGTGGTAACATCTACAAAACAATTTTTGACACTATTATTTACAATTAATTTTAACTATTGATATATTTATGAATTTCAAATAGATCTCAATTGTGGAATTAAACTATTATTTTATTACGAGCATGTTTTATCATTGTTATAAATTGTAATGTTTGTATAATATGGATTAAATTATATTTTGTTTGTAAACCCCTAAAATCTTTGATGGTTTGAACCAATGATATATAGCTGATTTACAAAGACGGGCCATCAAATTCAGTTTAAGAGAATCTGTGGTCACAGACAAAAAAGAAAGGTATTTTATGACGCAATGAGGCAAAGTATCGGGCCTCGAGTTACATGTTTGAAACCAACTACTTGTCTAAACAATTTTATTACAAGTATGATCGATCACTGTCGCGTATAAATTATCTTTTAAATATTTATTTATATATTTTTCTAGAACTTATATTATATATAACTTATTATGCTATATTATTATTCAAACGAACAAACTTTGTGTTAAATATTTTAATTATTTAAGCAAATGATGACGAATTAATGAAAAATTGTAAAAATGAATGTTCATAAATCTCTGAATACTGTGTTTGTATGATTTTAATTTTATTTGTAATAAATATAATTAGGATAAACCGTAAAAGGAAGGGGATGATCTATGGTGATTTGAGTTTGTTAGGTTTTCCTTTGGAAGAGGAATTTGAAAGACGGCCGAGAGACGTCGATGCGTTGATTTACGAGAAGCACGCGCGCGCATCCATCGATATACACAGTGAATACACGTAGAGTCTAAAAATAATATCCTCGTCGATCCCTCTTTCGTCCCTTACCAAATACTGCACCGGCTGGTCCGGTTTCGCCCTGTCCGCGGCGCTCCAGGAACTCGACCTTGAACAACCGAAGAGAAACACGTTCTTCCTCCGTGAATGGCCGTGATAGTCGACGAAGACGTGAGGAGGTCTTCTCAGGACCCTAGTGCAGTATTCCATCAAGCCCTTCGTGTGATAGATCACTGGATGTAACGATTGATCTGGATTGCTCCACTGTCTGTTCAAGTCTTCATTCGTTAGTCCATATCGATTGCTATGGATCGACAAAAATAAATCAAGCCAAAAAATATCAATAACAATAGACAGATTTGAATAATTTATTCAACATTTAGATATAGATATTGAAATTTTCATTCAATTGTTAATATTAATTGTATCAATTTAAAATTATAAATTTGATTCTAGATTTTGCGTTTTAATGCAACTTTTAAGTTTCCCTTATAAGTTCCTTAATGCAAACTTTTAAGTTTCCTTTCATTTTTATATAAATTTTTAAGAGATAACAAATTAGGTGTTGCGATTAATTCAGCTCCGTGAAAATTATCATCCTTTTTTGTCAAGAAATTCGTCAGAGAATAATGAAGACTATTTCGAAGAATAATAGTTATACAATAACTTTATAAATAAATATTAAATTTGTTAAGATAGCATCGAATTGATTGCTGCACCTAATAGATAGAGGAACATTTTCAAAGCATCTGCATATATGCATCTGCTTGTTTGATCTCTCAGAATAGAATTTGCAGTGTTAGTTCCTTTGCTAATCGGAGTTCTTTGTATGTAAATACATCAAAGATTCAGATAGATTCAGAAGACTTTTGAAAATGCTGTATCTATTTAAATATGTCTGATCTTTCGAAATAAATTCTTTGCATTGCAAACAAATATCAATAACTTTAAACTTACAATAGGAACGAATAGGAATACTCTTGAAACTCATTAGAATTACTAACCAATCAACGTCAATCATAGTTATTGATAAAATACATTATACATTCATATTTTTTTTAAATTTTCATCAAAGTTCAAGTTGAAATATTGGTAAAATAATATGTATATAATATTTAAAAAAAAAAAAAAAAGAAATAGAGTAAAAAAGAAAACGAAGTTTCAATTTATTTGAACGAATAATTTTGATTAGTTTTGGTGATCATTTGATTTTGGTATTTAGGATAGAAGAAATATATAAAAAAAAAGAAAAAGAAAGGGTTGTGGGAGAGAGACCTCGAAAGATCGTCGGCATTTAAGGATTCAACCGCTGTTGGAAGGACGTTTCCGGCGGGCGGAAGTCGAAGCAGAGGAAGTGACACCTTCGCGTCGTGCATAGCTAATCATTTTCTAAGCACATCCTTACTACCACCGATGGCAAACTCCCTAGGTTCGATTATAACGTCGTCGTTGTGTCGTCTTGACATCGTTTCGGGATGTAAACCTTGTCCCGAGGTGATGCACGTCACTTAACTTGAATGTTAAGAGCTTCTTACCTTCACTTTTATACTTTTATTAAATTGTCTACTTTAATAACAACAATTTTATAAACTCTTTAATGTTTAACAATTGAAAAAAAACTTGAAAAGAAAATAATAATTTTTCACAATCGTTTAACTTAAACGTTAGAAAATTAGAATTAAATATACTATGATTCTTATAAATGAATATATATATCAGGTTGCAAAATTATTATTATTTTAAATTAGTCCTCGGTTTAATAAAAATCCTCGTAATAAAATGATATTTTATTTTAAATAAGTTTTTGTATATATCGAACGTTTATTAAAATGATAAAAATTATAAATAGACTTGACAATGTATTAAATTTCTTTATCCATTCGCTTTTGAATGGTATCCTAGTATGACACTACGATAAAGACATTAGCAATTCGATGATAGTTAATAACTTCCGGTATCGGTGTTACACGTCCATGTACATGTACATACATAACTACATGTACGAATATATATACATACATACATATTAGGAAGCTAGGTTGTTCTAGTCACGTTGGTAAGTAAAGATCGATTTCTCATCCAAGAGAAAGATGCTGCGAGAAGACAATAAAAAGTAATGATGCAGTTGGTAGAGACAGTGAAGTGTCGACTGCAGGTGTAACCATCTCTCTCTCTCTCTTTCTCACACACACACTCTCTCTTTTGTTTTTTTTTCTTTTTTGTTTTTTTTTTCTATTCTTCTCTCTTCCTTCCTCCTCCCAAACCTCTCCACTTGCCCTCTCGAGGACGTTCACCGTCTGATTCGTAGAATAAGCAAAGGAAGAAGAGTCATTCGAGATAATAGATTTCATCTCGTGTAGATTCCCTGAGTTTAAGAAAAAAAACAACTGTTAAAGTAGTAGTGGTGGGGAGTTAGGACTGCTTGGTATTAAAACGAAGTAATCAGCGTACGTGGAAAACTTGTGGAGACGTTTCGCCAGGTAATGCTATTATAATAAGAATCGGCTAGATCTCTCAGATGACGATCATTATGTGAAGTTTTAAAACGTTCATCTTCTTTTTATGTGAGTGTATGTGTGTGTGTTTGTTTAGGTACGGATGTATGTGTTTGAGCGTGAATTAGATGGAAGTTTTTTCTCCCGTTCCCATACGAGAATACGTTTTTTTATTTTATTCGAATAATACTTAACTTTTATAATAGTTTGAACGATTCGAAAAATGAATAAAATATCGATGATATTGCAAAGAATTTTTTGTATCGTCATGTGTTACGTAAAAAAAATGTTACTTCTATTTGCGTACCACGTGTGTGTGTGTGTGTGTGTGTGTGTGCATAGGTGTATGGTATTTAATATTGAAAAATGTTTATAAAATCGCAAATAGAATGTAAAAAAGATGATTTATGATATTTTTGAAGTGAAAGGAATCATTTGTTGATATTTCCTAGATAAAAAAGAAAAAACATTATTCGAATAACTGGAGAACAATCAAATTTGATATACGTAATTTAGCGAGCACCCGGTGTAATGGACAGCATAAGTCTGTTCGTGCGAGCAACACCGATGTCAATGACTTGAACCGAGGAGCCTTGACCGCGAACTTCTCTCTCACCTCTTGAGAAATCCTCGAGAAATTACGTCTGACCGAGCTCACGTCTCTGACTTGTCCCGCAACATACTCGCTGGTTCCGTCATTCTTACCATTCGAATATCCTATTAATTACTTATTCAAATTGCCAATTTTTTATTCATCAATGAACTATATTTATCATATTACATCATCCCTTCTAGAAAAAACCATACAAGCATTTTGAACTACTAGTTTGTACCACTTGCGATGATAAATTTATAATTTCATGTTTATTTTTTTGTTATATTGAAGATTTATTTAAATTTATTAAATAATATTTTATCAATGAGAATCAATATGTATATATATAATATATTCCTTGAAAGTTAAACATATGAACATAAAATGTGAATGAACAAAAATTACATAGTACACGAAAGTTCACTTTCGTTGCTAGCTTAATTGCTCGTATTTTCTAATTGAAAAGATTAGATTTCCCATTGGAGAATGTAATTTCTTACTCGATTCTAAACTTTAAGTAGAACACACAATCACGAGAGAGAGAGAGAGAGAGAGAGAGAATGCACTCTCATGCGATTAACGAGAGCAAGGTATAAAAGCTTTCGGTGTATCGATCGGAATAACGAAATGAAGTTCAGCTAAAGGATCGTGCACCGGTTCGTTGCTTGCTCAAGTAAAGGCCCCACGTTAGAATATATTCGTGACCGGTCTGGATTTGCATTCCTCCTCCAATCCAAGGTCTCCTGGCCCTTTTTTACGAGCTCGCCGGTACGGAAAAGGGCCGAAAGAATCCCTTCGTTTCTTCTACCAGTTTCAACGATCGCTTCTTCTTCTTCTTCTTCTTCTTCTTCTCTTCTTCTTCTTCTTCTCCTTCTTCTTCTGCTTCTTCTTCTTCTTCTTCTTCTTCTTCGAAGAGAATTCTTCAAGCCTTTCTTCGATAGAATGTAACTACTCTCTCAACGAGTACTCCTTTCTTTCTTTTTCTTTTTATTCTTCTTCTTTTTCTTGTATTCTTAAAAAAATAGTTTAACTCGCTTTAAACACATTCCATACGTAATTATTAAGGTATACTTATGCGTTATCTACGTATACTTCCTTGCCATAAGGAATGCCATTTTCATCTTAAAGTTATTTCTAAACTGACGTGAATCTCCTTTAATAATGTCGTGTAAATGTCGTAGAAAGACAAGAACTTGCTTATTTATTCAACGTTACTCACATACCGATTGCCTATCTTTATTCTTCGTTACTCCGTGATATCGTGTCTTCGAAGATTATATTTAACACCTTAAGGAAACGTTTTTCTCCTTTATGATTTGTTATAATAAAAATGATTGCATTAAATCTGTCCAATGCTGATAAATAAATCAATTAATTTATCTATTATATTCCAGTAAAATTAAGGGACACTTAAAATACGAATGATAAATGAAAATATATCTGTCCATATTGACAGATAAATGAATCAAATAATTTTAAAAAGTTCAGCAAATCTAAACGTCAGATAGATCAGAATAAAATACGCCAAAATATCTAATAATATATATCCGACGTTCCTACTTGCTACCAAACAAATTGATTATGTTAATTATATGTTATAAAAAAAAAGACATCAAACAAGATGAGAACCATATCCTAGAGAGGAGTTAGGCTCGTTAAAAAGCTACCCGCTGGTATGAAACTTGAGTCTGATGAGATAACCAAAAAAAGACAAATCTAGACAAGAAAGAAAATTAGATTTCGAAGGTCTGGGTTCTTTTGGAAGATGACCTATCCCGTTTCGATCGTCTATCTCTTTCTCCTATTCCGTCTCATCAGATTATTCTACGCGGAATATAACATTTCGCGAACTGATATTCCATTCACTCGGAATAATAAAAAAAAAAAAAAGAAAAAATAAGAATAAAGAAAAAAAGAAGAAAAGAGATAGATGAGAAACAAGTTTGAAGAAGAGCAAGGGAATGAATTTATTCCCATGCGTGTTAAATATTAAATTACGTATTCAAGGACAAAAGCAGAGAAATAAACGAAGCAGGCGGGGAGGGGAGGAGGGTTACAACGAGTCAGGTGATTCTGTTAAACTCGAGACACTAGTAATGCCCTTAAAGCGATTTAACCCTATGATTTCGATCGTTACTTATTACTATGAACGATCGTTATTCCATCCCCCATCGATAATTTTTGTCTTCGAGAAAAGTAGACTCGTCTTCTTCGGGAGTGTCTATAAATTCATGGGGGATAAGCTTGGATCTTAATGGTGATCGAGAAGAGATTCGCTTTTCTTTGAAAGTAACTTCAAAGGGATAAGTTTTATCGCTGTACTACTCGAGGTCGAATACACAAGATAGGGAGAGTGAGAGAGAGTTCACGGTTTCAGGTTCTAGGTCATACTCTTGTACTCTTAGCACGTAACAGAAGAAGAAGATGAGAAGAGAGACGACTCTAAGTTGATCATGGCTGTTATTATCATCCATTCCTGCTTTCTATCGGTGATTATGCATCGCCCCTTTCGTACCCGGCAGCAGTCAAGATAGAAGGAGAATAACCATCTATTTATTACACCGAGACATTACATTGTATAGCTCTAGAAATAGCGTTGGAAATATACAAATAGAAGAAAAAAGATGGAATTACTATATTTTCTAATCTAATAAACAATAAATAATAAATGGAAATATATATATATATATATAGAAAAGAGGATAAAAAAAATGAATAAAAAGAATGAGTTAGCATGACTATTAATGTAATTAGCAATATAATAAGTAAAAATATCTGTTGGTTATTATTGCTCTAGCAATATAATAAGTCTTTCTTTGCAAAAGAAAGGAAGTAAGAAAGATGTGTGACTAAGATTTAGAGGACAGCACGAGATTATGTTCCTCCTTCTTTCTTCAAAGGAAAGACGCAGATCTTTCGTGTATAGCGACGTCGTATAATCGCATTAAATCCTGAGGGAAACAAACTGTCTAAATATACATCTATGGGACAGGATGAACATAGTAAGCTGCGAATACGTAAGCTACGAGATCTATTCTAAAGAAAGATATATACCAAGTTCTCAACTTCATTCTATATTACTGGATCAATTTGATCAATAATAAATAAAATTCATCTTTTTTTGTTATTATATTTGTCAATTATATATAAAAGAATTAAACAATCTTTGACTGTACCAATTTTGATAGGGTAATATGATGAAATTCATTGAAAAATTACATGAAGATCACTGCATTTAAAATAGTACAACAAAAAGCATCGATAAAAGATGCTAAGCTATGTAAAAGTGAATTATGACTTTGAAAGGATAGACTAAAAATGAAAGATGTAAAAAAAAGGTAAGAAGAATATAAAAGGTTTTTTGGTTAGCTCGTGCATATTTCTAACTGAATACCATCTTAGGATAAAAGGAAAGGAAAGAAAGAAAGAAGTCGGATCATAAAAAAAAGTAATTAACTTTAGTGTGTGTCCAATGTCTGGCTAAACAAAATTTGTGTTCCTTCTTTTGTCCTTGAATTGGTTAATAAATTTCAACGGATCTTAAAACTAAAAATATAACTTATTATTATCTCAATGATACTAATTGCCATATATCGAAGTATATATGAAAGTACGATATGAGGATCACTGTCCTAGAAGTATCAAAATGGAAGAGTCGACGAAGAGCCTACGGGGCCCTATGAGTCCCTCCGATCGTCTTGAAGCAAGCGAGGTTGTTCGCGCGCTAAAACCAAGATCTCTCTGTATGCAAGAAAGAGGAGTTTGAGAAGGAGGTGGTGGATGATGGGAGACGAAGAAAGAAAGAAAATAAGAAAGTGAGAAAGAGAGAAAGGATATATAAAAGCAGAAAAGGGAGAGAGAGAGGGAAGAGGGCCTTACATAGCGATCGCTGGCAGGGCCTGAAATAGACCTCGGCGAGAATCCTCCTGTAGAATCCTCTTCTCCTCCTCTTCCACTTCTTCTTCTTCTTCTTCTTCGTCTTCTTCTTCTTCTTCTTCTTCTTCTTCTCCTCTTTCTTAGCCGTCGCATCGGCTGGTTGCCTCGAAAGCCCTTCGTTGCTTTTATTTTGGCAAAAAACAGGCGAAAACCCTCCGAGGCTCGTTTGTGAGAAGTTGCTTGCGAGAAAGAGAATAAGAGAGAGAGAGAGAGAGAGAGAGAGAAAGAGAAAAAGAAATATAAAGAAAAGATGAAGAAGAAGAAGAAGAAGAGACTCGTGCTTGTTTATCCAGGATCCAGCTCCCGGCAAAAGCATCAGCTCGACCACGAACACAGTTCGACCCCCATTGGCCACTTTGCCGGAGCTCTCTCTAAGTGCATTCGAGTGCATTCGAGTACGCTCGGTGAATTCCCATGGGAAATACGCCGCTGGGTAGGCGTGACCTGTTAAACTGACCTACGCCAAGGTAAAGATAAAACGTGATTTAACCGCGGACCTTCTCCCTTAGTTCTCTTCAAGAGACACCACCGATACTTCCGCCATTTTGTTTGATCTTATATAAATTCCTTTTTCAACACCCTTTATTTTCTTTCCTATTTATTATAATCGTTCGATTAAATTTATATTTAATATAATATATTAGATTGTCCCATAAGTACACCTTTCAAATAATATATTCATTTTATAAATAATATATATATTTTCAAACGTAATATTTTTGTTCGATTTGATTAATTTGTATTTTATCTATTTGTTTTTAAAATTAACCGTAGAAAAAATGAATAAAAATTACAGAAAAATAAGAAAAGAAAATAGGATAGACGATGAGATAGAGGCTGAAAGTCAAGAAAAATATATATTATACTTGCTACCAGTGAATCAGCAGGGTCGTGAGAACTAAGAGGCGACAAGAAGCCGCCACGAACACGACTGTCCGAATGGCATCGCGATAAAACACGATGCCACGTTAACTCCGTTGGCTTTCTCAACTCTCATATGTTTAAACACGAAAGTGTTGTTGAATGTCTCGAGGGTAGTGAACTCCTGTTTCATGATCGAATGAATTAGCGGTATGTTAATTTCGTAAGCAACGGTATATAATGGGATAATCAATATTCATATACGACCGTTGTAAACATAAGAACAACTGAAAAATGTATAGAAATTCTTAAATCAACAAGATTAAGCAAACGAGTGGAATCATTGGAAATTAAAACAAGAATTAAGAAAATTCGTTTTTATTTACAACGACGTTTGATTAATTTTTTATAATAAATACCATTGATTAAATCAATTATTGAAGAAATTAGAAACGATAAAGTTAGACCTTGTTAAGTGTCTCCTCGTTAAGATCAGCTCGTTATTGTAATATATTCTCAATGTAAAAATAAAGGAACGAAAGAAGGAGTTTCCTTAGTGCGGTAGGTCTCGAATGTCACATGAGGATCTTTTTTTAGGGATGCCCGCACAGAGCTCGTAACAAAAATAGCTCGCCGTGTATGATCATTGATCCATCGATGTGCTATAAGCAAAGAAAAGAGATAGGTAGAACAAAAAGAAGAAGAAGAAGAAGAAGAAAAATATAAAAAAAAAGAAGATGAAGAAGAAGATGAAGATACGTAGGTTTTCTAGGGTACGGGGTACCGGTTCTATATTGTAACCAAAGCATACACGATAGTTGGAGCAAGAGAAAACTGGACTGGACGATATGTACCATCAGTAACAGCAGCAGGTGATCTCGAGCGAAAAGACGCGGTCAGAAATGAAGCCTACCTTGAGACTGAAGTCTTTTTGCGGCCTACCGTGTCGATAGGTTCTCTGGGATAGAAGTGGGATCCCATTGGTTACGAAAATACATTTTAAAGTTATCTATATTTTATCTATTTGATATCACTAATTTACCATAATACATGACAAAGTCTAATGGACCTCAACAAATGTTCTTTTCTTTTTATCTTTGAAATATTAGGTTGCCCAGAATGTTAGCGCCGATTTTGCATTTTATATATACATAATGTGTTCTTAAAATCCCTAATATATAAATGTGGAATTAGTGAGGATTTTGAAGTAATGATTTTAAAAATTATTAATATATTATTATATTTATAAATTAGAAGAAACTTTTCAGGCAAGCCAATACATTTTAATGGACTTCATAAATAATTGTATTTAATAATTTGAAAAACACAAGAAATGAAATGGTAATTCGTACAAGCAGATCTGGACGGTACAAAATTCCAGAATAAATTCTGAGAAGATCGAAGAGCAAATCGAAACGATTCCACGCTACTACTACGCCCGATGATCCAAGGCAACTCTTTTTCTTAAAGTCAACGAACCTACTACTATGTACCCATGAACCAATACGCATGAACAACACATACACAGACGGTTGTAATAACGTATACATTGAGGTAAGTTTTTTTGTTAACTCGTCGAATAGAATTTGTTAGCAATCCATTAGAGTTTTGCACTTGGGATCGTGGATCTAAAGATCAACCCAAGGACCAAGGATCTATCCTTCGACGTCATCTTCATCTTCTATTCGTCTGGGTTATCCCTCTCCAGTTGGCAAACTCAATATCTATCTATCTATCTATCTCTGAAGCTATACTCTCCCCTCTTCGAAACGATAGTTCGAGCGTCCCTTCGTGCCTTCGTCCGCCCTCCTCTAAGCTGTTGCTGCTGGTGCCAGTGAATCATCTTCAACGACCCCCTCCTCTTGGATCCGGCCAGAAGACTCTTAAGGGGGCCCCCGACGCAGCGCGAGGCCAGTCCGAGAACGCGACCCTAACATTAACATCCGGTGTATTCCGACAGTCGGAAACGGAAACGACTGTTTGATCGTACGATTAGTAGCACGGCAACATGAAGATCGCTACGCTGCTTCTAGTTATCGTGGCCTTCGCTTCAGGTTAGTACTTTTATTACATACATATTTTTTTATCCATTTTTCAATACCTTTATTAGCAATCGCATTTCTTTCTTTTTCTTTTTTCTTCGTACCGTGCTCGTTCAATTGAGGTATTTTACTTTCAGCAAAGGTATACTTCTTGTACCTATCTTCTCTCGTCACGGTTAAGTCGGATTAACGATTCTCGCGGCATCGTGAACAACGAGCGTGACTTACTCGATGAATGAAACGTATAGTTTAGTGAGACGCAAGTCAACTTGCTCGCTCGCGAGTCTTCGCTTTTCACTGCCGGCAGACGTCTCAAGGTCTTCCGGTCGTTTAACTATCACCTGCGTCGCCAGTTTTTCCACGGATGCATCGAACTTCTTTTTACTTTCCCCCTAGTTTTATTCCTTTTTTTCTCATTTCTTTATGTCTTCACATGCCGGCATCAAACGACTTCCAGAGCTAATCTTTCTTCATTCGTGCGATTATTATTAGAAACTTTCTATATATATTTAGAATACCTACTGTGAGAATATCGTCGAGTTCTTGCAATAATCGTGTACAAAGGAAAATGCACCTTTATCTTCTTTCTTCAAATATTTTTTCTTTTTTTTAAATGTTGATATTTTTATAAATGTGTGTGTGAAAGAATATTAGATGATAGATCATATATTTGATAGATCAGAAATAAAAGCGTGAGATACAGAGAGATAGATAGTAAGTTATGTGATCTCGTCTAAAAGCTGTTTGGAACCCTATATCACTAATAATTCATAAGTACAGTTAACCAAATAATCGTGTTAGTTCAATGAACTCTCCCGAACACGTCTCTGTGTTAATATCATTCTATTCACAAAAGATATCCCTCGTGTGGTTTCAGTTAAATAGCTTGGTGTTGATGAAGAATGTCCCTGTTTAGGATAATTAAGGCTCTTTGATGAAATAACCTAAAGGCAAACGAGTACTATACAAATAGACTATAAGATTTTTTGTCGAACCGCGAGACAACATTCATTTTAAAATAAAAACTTGTCAAAAGTTGAAATAAAAATTTCTAAAGATATATTATTATTCCGAAGGAATTAATTAACGATATCAAACATTATCAAACGATTATGTTACAAGTTGAAAGTTCAAAGAACCAATTAACTAACAGGAGCAAAAAGAAATAATCAACACATTTGTATAAGAATTGCATTCGAATGTATGATCATTCTCGAATGTAACGGTTCGCTGTGAAAAGAATCGTTCATCGGCCACGCTAAAATGGGACACCGGGTAGATTAGAATTCAACAGATGGTGTTCCTCCGTCTGGAGATGCCATTTGCGGTTCTGTCGGAAGTCCATGAAGGAAACGTGCTTCGATGAGATAATAATGAGGAATTCTAAAGTTTTCTTGATATCGATTCTTTACCGGTTTTTGAAAATTCGTAATATGAAAAAATAACATTTCTTTATGATCATGCATAATATATGCTTCGAATTATATCAAAAATTGTTTATAATTTTATTGTCATAAAAAACATTCAAGTTCAATGCATTAACTTCTTTTTTTTTTCTAAATTACTCTCATCCTGGTGAATTTTTTGTAAAGTTATACTGGTCAAGATTATTATTATTATTGTGTTACTACCGCAATTGGAATATATTATACACCATGATGATTAAAACGATCATGTCGCAAAAAGTGTCAGTCATAAGTGTCAATTACACGTTTGGTCTAATTTCATGATGATTATTAGACACACACACACACACACATTGTTCTCGTTAATCAAGCGTATAAAAATATACAATTAATTGATAAATTATTTTTCTTAACGTTCAATGAAAATTTACAGGTCAAAGGATCACGACAATTCAGCTCGATGGTGTTCAATATTTTGTATCAAGAATGAATCCATATAGTCCAGAACTCAACTACTTCTTAGCGTATCAGTATTGTCGTTCTTTGGGTCTTCAACTGGCATCCTTCGAAACGAAGGAAAAATCAGACACAATGACCCAGTACTTAAAGAACGCTGGTTACACCAAGTACGATTTTTGGACGTCGGGTAACAAACTTGGCACGGATATGTTCCTATGGATGAGTACAGGACTACCCTTCAACACCACATTCGATTATATGCTTAAGAGACCTGGAAACAGACCTGCTGATGTTCCACCTGGCACCGAACCTCAAAGAGTTGCACGTGAAAGGTAAAAACAGAAACTAAACATAAAAATATCAATTAGAAAATAGAAAAAATCCTGCATTTATACAAGCTATAGATGAATTAAAATAGAAAAAAAAAATAAGATTAGAAAATATTTATCATCGATAATTTCGAATAAGATATCAGAAAAATTGTTATCGATATTTTATTTGTATTACAGTGGCGACAGTGGCAGTGCGGACGGTTGCGTTTCGATGGTAGCACCAACGTTAGCATGGGAAGCACAAGATTGTACCCTCGTAAAAGACTTTATCTGCGAGCAAACAAGATGCTACTACTATAACTACGGCAGCATTCCAGTCTCCGCGACTCAGGGGTAAGAGGTGAGATAATACTTGTCACAAAAAATACACAAAATTGCCGAGAAAAAGAGAGATAGAAAAAGAAACTAAGAGAGAGAAAACCAGAGGATGCCCAGTGTCTCCAAGGTGAATCCTGCTGGTTATAAGAATATAAAGTATACGGGGAACTGATAAAATATGTAAATGAAATCTTTCCCCCATAGATATATAAGATTTCTTATACGTTAACACAGGATCAAATTGCAATGTTTTATCAGTTATCTTCATTACCTAGCTGATTATTTTGCAGACAAAAATTATGAAACTTTCTAAATGCTTATATTATACAGTAGTTAGTTGATAATCAGAAAAGGTTGTTGGTAATCTGGGATTCTCCGGTAACAAAATATACAACTGACATAATTCTCATAATTTTATATCAAACGTACGTAACGCTTACTTTTCTTTTTGTTTTTTGATCACTAAGATAGAAATATTTACTTGGTTTTAGCTAATTTTTGAAATAAAAATGAAAAAATAAAAACGTAATGATATCTGATATCTAGGTGCTTTTTGTAACAACGCAAACATTCTCTCGCCTCTCGCTGCAAATACTCAAAAACAAAGATAAACCAGTTACACAATCAACACACGCACATACACATGTACGACAATGAAAAAGTTTCGATCCATGAATTGGTTAATTCTATAAGTAAAACTTGCCAATTGGATCCAGACTTTTGTTCTTTGCGTTTATAGGAGCTTCCTTTTAATAAAAGCAAACTAACATAACTAATATAATAAAGATAAGATGAGAGACGTTGCTTCATTAAGAATAGAATTTATAAATAATGATCTTCTTCCTTGGTAGTAACGTCTTTAATGGGAAATAAATTGAAAGGAAGGATCGAAATAAAATGTTTGAAGATTAAATTGATGGCGAGCTGAATTTTTCAGAAATCGCAGACCCTACATAACGACCACCTCGGCGCCAGCCAGCGACGACCAGATCGACGAGCACGTTAAGGAAGATAATAAAGATGAGAAAAAACCGGATGAAACTATCGACGAAAAGACAACGTCATCGTCGAACGAGGAAAAGGAAGAATCAGCGAATGAAGACATACCCGAAGACCCGGTCGTTAGCAGGCTGATAACAACAGCCGCTTCCGTGTCTGGCAAGCAAGAAGAAAAAGACGATCAAGAGGAAGAAGAAGAATCTACTGCATCGAGCGTTTTAGGAAACATCGAACATCGTAGGCCAACCGATGCATTTGATAGAGAATATGATAATACGAGACCCGATAATATTCCGGATATCACGAGTCTCTTCACGGCTAGCAGTGCTGATGGTCAATCAAACGTTCATCAAGCAAGAAAAGACAACTCTGCTAGTGTCTTCGATGGCCTGGAGACTCGTGAAATCCTTCGTACAGCTTCTCGACCATCCACTTCGGATATGAAGATGGAACACAGAGATTCTCTCGATTATGATTTACTCTCGGATGCCCCAGCTGAAGTTCAAGCTGACGTTCAAGGTGAAACTGAACCTCCTAATAACGGTTTGGAAGATGCTCATACCATTGGTCCATACGACACAGTTCAAGATTACGTTAACGATCAACAGGACATTGGTGAATCGGTAATGATGAAGGATCAGGATGATGACAGTAGTACGATCCTGCCAGAGGCGGAACCGGCCTATAGGTACAACATCAAAGTGCGCACCAACGGCAAAGTATTAGACCCTCCGTCCAAGTAACGCTTTACTCTTTAGGCACCGACGCCTTCGTTAAACGCGTTCGTTCGTTTACTAATTGTAAGAAAATTAAGAAAAGATAATTAAGATAAAAATGAAGAAGATGACGACGAAGGAATAGGATACGATTAATCTTCGCAAGAAAATAAATTGCTTGCGATCATCATCATTTAAATAAGTTCTTCTAGTCCAAGAACACTTTGAACCAATTAAACCTCTTCTCTCATGTTAACGCATTAATACAATCATAGTATTTAAATTAAATCGCAAAGCAATAACGTCGTAGGAACCTAACTTCTTCGCATTTTCTTCAAACGTTAATCTATAACGCTATTTTTTAACACACGTCAATCATCGCGTTTATCGAAAAAGAATAATATTAATAATATTAATAATAATAATAATAATAATAATAATAATAATAATATTAATAATAATAATGGTAATGATGATAATAATAAAAAAAAAACTGGTTAAAAACTCGTGGATCACCATAATCATCACGGGGGATCATCGGTGGCACGAGAAATCACGGTCATTTTTCATATTGATCACGTTCTAAGCTAAATATCACATCCGATAGTGGACGTACTAACTTGATGTCCTTGGTTGGAGGAAAATCGAAAGATAAAATTTTAGTGAAATTTCCTAAAAGTATTTTATGAAACAAATATTAGAGATCAGCTTAAGCTATTTAATTTCTAACTTCATAAAATAGATGATTTAATAATGAAATAATTTCTATTTTCTTAAGATAATAAAAAATGTTTTTCTCCAACTGATGATGCCAGACTCGTATCGATAGTACGTCTTTCATTGGTGCGTTAATTGTAATGCATGATATTCGTGACGCCAGCTGACATCAACGTAACATCATTTTCAATCATTATCGTTCGAAAGATCCTAATTAAAAAAAGAGACCCTTCTCTCTCGCTTTTCATTGATTCACCAATGTGAGCAACTGATAGTCCGCTGACGTCACGTTTTATTCATCAAGATTTAATCATCCCTTAGACTTAAATGAACACGTTTTCGTACGTTCACAAAACGAAGAGTTCAATGACCTCGGCAAAGAAAGAAACTATTGTTTCTTTCTTTGATCGAATACAGGCAAAACGAAACTCTTCCGTTATCTGAACGTACAACGATCTATTCCTAAATTACCCCCTTCCTCGTTCTCTTTTTTTTGGGAAAAATTATTCACTAAACTGTTACACGATAAGTCAAGCACTTACAATAATTTTCTACAATACTACCGTACAACAGTGTGAAAGAACGCTCAACTTGTGTAATAAATATCGATAGTACTATGAGTCAATTGTTATTCATGTCCTATCACTTACCAACCATTGACCACACCTTCTGGGTTCAACATCGGAACGATTTTAAATACATAATCGTCACGTAAGCTACTAGCATAAGTGGAATTGCTTAGAAGAGTCTCCAATGTTCCATGCATTATCCATGATGCGTTGCTTTCACCTGGATGAACTCTCGACGTAAGAAAGATCATTTTTCTGTTCTAAACATATCCCAAGTAAATATCATCAATTTTTTGACAATAATATTCAATGTAGATGTTATACGAACAAAGGTAAAACTTACTGATATAGGATTGTCTTTAGAATCTGGCGCAGTTATAGTCAGTAATGGAATTTCATTGTTATTTAACGACTCGCAAAATGAATCGGCACGAAAGTAAATGTTCGAAGAACTAATCCTTCCAGTCCATTTCCAAATATTGGTCATTAATTGAGTATAAGTATAAGGGAAGTGATATGCCAGATAACAAACGTCGTGAGCATGAGGAAAGATAACTGTGAAAGTTGTCGTCAAATAATTCTTTCCCTTCGTTGGTTTCTGATAACAATTTCTATAGTAAGAGATATCTGTCCCAGTTCTGACCCAACCAGGTCGTCCCAATTGCGCTTCGATTACGCTGAACAGAATAGGCTTCATACCGAAATTAAACTGAGAGTTGGCTTTTTCGCAATTTATTATATTGAACGTGTAAGGAGCATTTATTTCCATATTTGAAACTTCGAAGTAAAACCATTGGTGTCCAGAAACACTGTTAACATCTGGTGTTAAGATCAAGTCGTATTCTCTCAAGCCTATCTGCAAGCAAGGAAGAAAAATACAGAGAAACGATATGTGTAAAAAAGAATTCATGGATCTAAGCCTAATCAGATTTTTTTTCTACTTTAACATGTTCACCATTCAATGTATAGTTCTGTTAATCGATCTGTTAAAGATTGAAATATGTAAATTAAAAATTCATTGAATACGTCGCAGGGCGTATCAAATAAAAGGAATCACGGTTCATTAGCTTATATTAACAATAACTATATACGATTGCTATAACAGTGAACACATTCATAATTGCAACAAATACTTTAACTATACCTTAATAGCTTTTCTTAAATTTCCACTTTCAAAACGAGATTCAAATTGTAAATATTTGGTCTCCAAGTTCCTTTTTCCAATTCTCTTTTCGTCCCAGTTACAAAGTAATTTATCCGAAACTCGATCATTCGTTGGTACATTCATCGCTAGAACATCCAGATTATAAACAACCTCGTAATTTTTTGTATTAGCGTGAAGACTTCTTTCCACGCAAGTTAATAATTTTTCACGACAAACTTTCCTATCTTTGCAGTTTAATGGTTCTGGTTTTCCAAAAGAGTCACCACCGATCAAATCGGGATAAGCAACTTTGACAAATCTGATAATACTTTTCACTTCGGTTGCTATTATACAATAAGCTAGCTGATTAGTAGTAGCTAATGAAAGATCTTTTAGAGTTTTGAAATTAGATAATATATTTTTATGCTTTATTTGATATTCCATTTCGTCCTTATGCATTTCCTTTAATAGACTTTTTGACCGAGTGTTCGTTTTATCATAGTTAACTGTTAAATTTGACGTAGTATGTTCGAGTTTTATTTGATAATTATTTAACTCTTTAAAAAAATTGCTATACCTAAAATAAAAATTCACGTGGTGTTAGATTAAATTGGACAATTTTGAAAGCAATTTATCATATAGAATATAGACGTTAAAATATTCATATTAAAATATTATTTTCCAAATTGGATCAAACAATATTATTACCAAATCAAATTTTCCTCAGTCCTTTGAGATGTATAAACTCCAGCAAAAAATTGACTCTCATCTATCTCTTCGGTAGGATACAAATTCTTATCGCTCGTTCTTTTTGAACTATGACTATCTTCGTCGTCTCCTGAATCAAAATCACTATATAATCTTCCAAGCGAGGCCACGCTGTTAGCCTGAAAAACAAAAATAAATAAATAGAACAAAAATTTAAATTAAAGAATGCAGACATACTTATATTTGCAAATTTAATATAAAAATAAATGCGACGTACTTGACTGTCAAGGTCACTTCCACTTTCGATGCTGTTAGCCCTGGTATTTGCTTCCGGTAGATTGAATCTAAATACCAAATATTAAATAAATTAAATGATTTAGTACTAATTGTAAGAAAAAAAAAAACAAATGATGATATTTTTCCGTAAATATTAAAAACGCAGATCAAACATAGGAAACCTTGAAAGTATCGTTCACCTTGCAGGAGACATTATGGGTACAGGCAAGTCCTTCTTTTCCAGACATTGATTGATTATACTACATATACGTGACAATAAGCAATCGTAGGCTTTTTCCTCCGGGCAGTATGTACAAAACCGGTACAGTAGCTGTAGACCATTGTTCGACTTAATAGCATTCCTACCAGACTCTGAAAGTGGGAGGAAGAAGAAAAAGATCTTTTAAACGATTCCGAGTTATCCGAGTCCTTTCTTCGAGAGGAAGGAAAATACATCTTGGAAGACATGCTCTTAACTGAGAAGTATCTTTCTTTGCACTATTCATAAATATGTTCAAAGTACTCGTACGTTACTTCAAAATAATCTTAACAAATACGACAAGTTCCCCAACGTTTTTCAAGAATTCCTTGAGTTCGAGCTCGTAAAAGTAAAAAAACTAGTAAAAGAATTTAAAAAAAGAAGAATTCGTCGAGCGACTAATAATTAATTCGTAATGAAACGTTTCAACCGATATTGAGATCAACGTTCGTTCGACCGGTCAACGCGGTCGAATGTAACTCGTTATAAGCACCTGTCAGCCTTTTTTCACTTCTCTTAGATTTTTTCTGGATACTAAGCGCGGTTTGCTTTCGTAAAAGAAACTTTACTTATTACGCAAAGATGCTGTAGCGTGTTCAGAGCGTAGTTGCATATCTTCAGTCTCATCTGTCCCTCGAATCTCTCCCATCTGTCGAAAATTCGCATCAATTGATTTACAATCCCAATCTTTACGAGCTTCTTGCAGCATAATTCTACGAAAAATTCATATTACGTTTAATTAAAAAAAAAAAAAAAGAAATCAAACAAAAGTCATTAGCATATTTTTTTTTTGTTAATATCATTGAAGCTAACAAAATGATAACTAATAACGTACTTACTGTTAGTAGTAAAATATTTCAAACATTCTACCAAAACTCTTAATCTAATGTTAGATGCATTACCAACAAATATTAGGGTCTTTTCCAATGTATTAACTATACCGTCATTAATAAGAACTTCTTGACAAAATGCTGTGAAATAAAATTATCCAATTATTAAATCTACCACAATAAAATAAATATTAAAATTAAACTTAGAATAATACTAACAATTTTGAGCAAGAGTTTTCATTATCAGCAACAATGGAAGAATTATTTTACTGTTGTTATAATTTTGTGCGAGGAGCGTGTGAAATATCTTGATACAATTTGAACTTTTTACATTTGCTAAAATTCTCACATCCCATTGGCAGATCTACAACATATAAATACCTTATTCATACATATAATTAATTATATTAATAAATAATTTAGAAATATTTAAATTGATATACAATTTTACCTGTTCCAAAATCCATAGAACTTCTTGCATCAAGACATCTACAATAGGACTGTCTTGATTCTGGATATTCATTAAATTTTTAACTAGGACTTGCGTGATCCCTAAGTTTATCAGTTGAATGACCGCTATTCGGCTACTGCTTTCTAAAAAAAGAAATAATAGTTTATTCCTATCGTAAATTTACTTAAAAACTTTGAACATTTTCATTCGACACAATTAAATAGGATACACATACTATATTTAATAGACATATATGGTATGTTATTATTTAAATTATTTTTACGATATTTATAATAATTTATAAATTTGAATATTACTTGTTGCACTTTTGGTTTTGCTTCCTTTCGATTTGCCTTTCGTTACTTTTGGCATTATACACTCGTGTAATATTGCAGCAATACTATAAATCACCACAAGATCCTTGCAATGCTGTAAAATAGAAAATTATATATTTTTATAATTTCTGTATTATTATGAGACCAAAATTATTGTTTAATGGTAATCATTATTTCATCTTTTGAATTCTATATTTTTCCCAATTTAATTTGAAAGATATTTTAAATTACGAAAGAAAGATTTGGATCTTTGAGCAATGAAAACTCACAATTCGTTCGTGCAACACTCAATAGAAATAAGAACGAACGGGTTTGTAGTTTTGCAAACCTTCCCGAGGGGAGATTGACAAGTGAGTATAACTCGTTAATGTGACTTTGTCACGCTACTATTTCGTGTATGAAACTTGAATACCTTCGTACTCATTCGAAACGCCTAATCAACTTTACATGGTGTGGAATATTCACCAACGAACACGTTTAGCTTGATACGTTTCGTGACATTTCAAATTAAATCCTTTGCTAAAAATACTTTTTTCTTCTCTTTTAAAGTATGCATATTAAAAAGTTCATATTATATCTATTATGTCATATTATTTATATTGAAATTAGAATATAAAACATATTCACACAGTGTTCCTAAAGGATCACCCATCCAAGTACTAACTGTGCCAGACACAGTTCCTTAATTTTAATAATCGAACTATCTTTTAAAAAACTTACCGCAAGAATGATAATAAAAATTTCCATTGCACCAGAACCCTTGGTCCATAATTTTTCCAACATATCCTCGCGAACTCGTTTATCTAAAAAAAAAACAAAATAAAAAGTTTTATTAACGAGATTTAAAATATATAAGTAATACAGTAACATTTACAAAAATTCAATGATATTAACAATCAGAATAATTAGTTACAGTTATAAAAATAAGTGTAATTATAAAAAGAAAAAGAAGCATTTAGTAGATGTCGAATCTAAGCAATGATTAGTCGTAAAAGGATTAATTAAATTTTCATCCGCATCATTAATCAAGATAAACAAGTAATTCGATACGTGTAAATAATATTGCAATAAATAAAATAAACAAATTATCTTGGCAAGAGAAAGGATGAGCGAGCAAATGAACAGCTGCGAACAAAGATACTACAAATTCAATAAAATAGCAAACATACTGTTCATGGTTAAGATGGTGTAATTCTAACTTTCATAGTTGACATTAAGCCAATTCGGATCAATGCCATGAGCGCGACTACGTGAAAAAAATACACGTAACCCATAGGTACGTTATCATTCGAAAGTAATTGCCAATTTAACGTCAACCAAGATTTACAGATTTTCAAAATGATCTGTGATAAATTTTCAACAAGATCTCTCTCTCTCTTTAAGTATTTAAAGTTAATTTATTTTATTTACTTTGAAAAGCACTTGAGAAACGATGTAACTTTAATTACTAATTCTAGTTATGCATACTAATAAAAATGTTTTAAATTCGAAATCAGTCGAGTACATCGACATTCTGCTCGTAGAATGTAATTCTGTTGAATGCAGAATGAAATCAAACGTTCTTATCACATTGACCTAATTTCGATCCCTATCGAATTACTCCAGTATGTATTGTCTGGATATCCCTCGTTCATTGGATTATTGCCAACTAATAATATGTCAAAGCACATGTGACGCGAAAATTCTTACGTAACCCTTATAATAATCCTTTATGTATAAATTTTCAAAAATAACCACTCGATTGATCATATCCAATTGTATTAATATCTTAAAACTAAATTTACACGTTTGTTCTGAAATCACTTAAAAGAAACATCAATGATTTAATATGATATATATTTCCTCATATTTTTTGTTTTTTTTTTCTTGTAAAATACATCAATTTGAATGAATTTAATATGAAAAAAAAGAAACACGTGTAACCGAATGATCCATTTTTATCGTTTAAATTTTATCTACATTTTCAAAACTTTAACATCGTTCGAAAAATAAAGTTTACGTAGTCTAATTCTATATAAATCGAGTTATCTGTAGAAATAGGTTTTCAGAAGAACTTGAACGAGCGCATGAATTCCAAGTTATATATCTAATGCGACCCGGATTTTCATTTTGAAGTTTAGCGAGACATAATTTGCGAAATACAATGACACTAAAAAAGCTGTTTTCACCTTTTATTTCTTAGTAAACTAAGAGCTAATTCTTCATAACACATAATTTCATATATTCTTTAAGAATGTTACTATTCAGGAGTTGTATGTGGAAAATAATTCGAATGTAGTATCACTTAAGTGTGAGATTAAATGAGCTGACAACACTAAGAAAGTAAAGTAATGTTACCATTGTGCAAAAGAGATATTAGTCTTGTTGAAAAGCCAAAATTCCTCTTAACGTATCTATTACTCTAATTTAACCTTCCTTTTGATCTTAATATTATTTGATATCGATCTTCCGGCTAATACTTTGATCTTTTCTCATTGATCAATTAACATGATATCGTTCTAAGAATAACGTTAGTATAATTTCCTGACTGTTTTGAGATCTCCGATAAAGGTAAAATATTAAGGGTAAATTTTCATCAAAAATAAAGATAAAAGCGTATTCGAGAATTCATCTGTAAGCATTTTGGTGTGATTTACGAGTAAATTCATATAGAAGATTGTTGAAACAGGACGAGAATTGCATCAAGATTTTTCAAGGGTTGTGTCAAGATTTTTTCTACAGTAGATTTCAATCTTAGCACTATATTTTAAAATGGAATGATCAATCTACTCCTGTGTGATATTGAATAAAAATGTAGTCCCTATTTTCTATTTCTTATTATAACTTTTTAATCAAATTATTTTAAATATGTAACATTAAAGTTAAGTGATTTTATATATTTCTTACAAATTATACCGTTATTATCGCATTCGATAATGTTTCTATTTGAATATAACTGTATAACTGTAATTGAATAATAAGAAACGAAAATAAATTTAATTTAATTAGTAATTATAGGTTATTAAATACGTGATTACCTGAAGAGGTGACTCGTGCGTGTATCTTGGTTATTAAGGCCTTCAATGCTTCCCCTCCTGTATTATGTTTTAACGCGAAACTTTGTAGCTTCTCCATGATCGTGTTGTTTATAGCGTCGTCCATACATCTACTGCTCGGTGACATCGCACTAAACCGCAACGTAAACAGTTAGTAAAATTACATCGTTCAAGTAAAAGTGGTAGGAACTAAACGAACTCGTTCATTTCTTGGTGGCATTGCGTGCAAAACGATCGCGGTTTAACCAAACTATCTTTCAATTTCAAGTGAATGAATGGTGACAAATATTTATTAAAACAATAACCAAATTTGTATATAATTTAAGTAAAATATTATCAAATTTTGACAAAGATTTATTAAAGAACTTTAGTTATAAAAATTAAAGAACATTTAACTGATACATTAATTTATTTTCAAACATTTGTAAATGTTCATTTATCGAAATAATTGAAAGAAAATGATGATGAAAGGTGATCATTTTTTTATCTTTCATGAAAGTAAAAGAAGATGAACGTCTTTCGAAGATATCAATGAATCTCTCCATTGGCTTTGGTCCAACCCAGACGAAAAATCTCATTAATCAGATTTTACGATCAGCTGGCCACACTTAGTCAGTGTCACAGAAATGAAAATCAAGCTTAGAAAAAAAAAGAACTTTCAAGGCTAATTAATGCAAAGAACGTATAAAGATCAGTGCTTTAAAATAACTTTCTAAATAATAATGCAAAGAATAAATAACAAGTACATGACAACAAACTAAGTTAGAATATCTAATCTATACAAATGCAAAACCACAAACATGATACAACTATACGAAGTCACAGGAACTTTCACAAACGTATAATTAATATACTTAATAATTTTCATTCTTAGTACGAGAGTTTTAAGATAAATCCTACGAAAATAAAATGACACAGCTAATTCCATTTAACTGAGAAGCTTATACAAAGCAATGAATATAAAATAACAAATGCAAGACTGCAAGTAGTAAGTAATAAGTTTGAAGAACTAAATGATAAAGAGACAAAAAGATCAACACGTACTCTCCTACACTACGATACACTTAAATTTACACGTGCGTGCACACATATACACATAAGCATACACTAATGTAAGGGAGGATGGACAAACACGCACGATACACGAATAGGTTGCTTTTGATTTTTACTCTTCTTCCTGCATGTCCTCCTCAATATCCTCGAGTGCATTCACTTTTGTTGGTTGCTGGTTTTCTTTGTCGCACATTTCCAATACGCGCTTGTCCTTTCTCTCTCTTTCTCTCTTTTTCTTTCTCTTTCTCTATTTTCTTCTTCTCACGATAATAGCCTTCGTGTTAACGATGACAATGACTGTGATAAACGAAAACAGGAATGATGACTTTACATCGATTATATTATCAAATTTAAATAGCATGAAAATTTGACTACGAAAAGGAATGAAGATTTTTTCTTTAAAGATAATTTTCTATTTTGTTTTGGTCTCTCTTGTTTGATCTCCCTACTTTTTTCTTTCTTATTTTCCTTCTTAATTTTACAACAAAATTCGCGATCCACACGCTTCAGCACTCTGAAGCGTTTTGACGTTTCCCGCTGCCAAAACTATGTTTAAAAGCATAGCACGCATGCACGCATGAGGTACTTCTATTTATATCTACGGCTGCTTTCCAAAAACTTGTTAGTTTTTTGTTGTTATTTATTTATTTTTTTTTATCTGTTTTTAATTATTAATCAAAACCTTTCTTTATTTTTTTATCAACGATATCGACATCGACATCGACGAAGTTTCAAATACGACACGAACACGAACCGTCTATTATAAATTCACAATAGATAGGTGACTAATCGATTTGAAAAGGAAGACAATGACGTACGTATAGAGATGAATCTTAAAGAGAGATAGAGATAAAGCATATGTGCAAGATAGCAATTTGAAGAAAATTACGAATAAATGAAATTGACTTATTTTTATTAGAAATTGTATTTCAAAAAAATAAAGAATATTTATATAATATAATTGTATTTCAAAAAAATAAAAAATATTTATATAATATAATTGTATTTCAAAAAAATAAAAAATATTTATATAATATAATTGTATTTCAAAAAAATAAAAAATATTTATATTTATATAACAAAATATAAATTTTATTATATTTTTATATAAAATTTATATAAAATTTATATATTTATATAAAAAAAATATATATGAAATTGATTATTTTTATTAGAAAGAAGAAAAATGGATGTAGAAAATACTAGAACATTCGTAACAAGCGAAACGTATAAATCCTCGAAATACAATATTTTGTAATTGGTATATATACAAACATGTTTGTCTCTAGGAAAGTACAAACTATTGTTCTATGTAATATATAATGATTGTTTAGACAAACGAAAAACTCGAGAAAGTATACATACATTATTTTAATTAATCATGATTTCTAAGTTTCGCCAAAAAGTAGGTCGTTAAATTATTGTAAGACAGGTGAAAATGTAACCACATAATGACAGTGTTGATTGATTATTTACAATGTTACATTTTCTAAGAATTTGTCTGACGAAAGTGATAATTGATACAAAGAGAACAAAGAAAAATGACTCGATTATCTGTACTTTTGTTCGAATGAAGATGCATACACGTGAGAAGCCAAAAATAATCTCACGTTAGTCGCTATAGTACGAACATACGAAAAATTATAGTTAACACGAGATCGTACATAAGATATATCAACGTACTTTCTTCGAAATCGACCTCGAACACGTGTTTCTTTCGAACCACCACTCGACCTTAACGTCAATTTCAAATGAAAACGATATACGAATTGTTAAACAAAATCATCCTTATCCTTTGATATTAATAACTTATTATAATTAATCTTTCTTTATATAATAAAGATTTACATTTGAGAAATATATAAATATATCTGAACAAAAGTAGACAATTCGTATAGATAAAAAAAGGGCAAAGAGAAAGAGAGAGTTCACCGAAATAATAAAGAATATTTAAATTGTATCAAAATATTCCGTGAGATGAAAATTCACTAACACTCGATATTAATAGTTCCATACAGGATCGCTGAAACGTAAACACTCTCGTGGCCATTCGTATGAAAGACTAACCTTCGAAAAGCAACAACGACGACAACGACGACGAGGAAGAAGAGGAAAAATAAATTGAAACGGATCGTTCGTTTAAATACGCCCTGTACCAAGGTCCTAACTGGTTCAAGAAGGACGACACGTCACATCCAGTTTGAAATGTTTAACTCACGTGATGTCACATATGCAAAAATTCTCTGATGTTACACTTATTCATCTAAATGGTACAAAAAACTAACGGGAGAGTACGAGAGAAAAAAACGAAGAATATTTGAAGAAATTTCAAATGAAAGAGAAAGAGAAAGAGATAGAGAAGGTGTGAGAAAGAGAAAGATGAAAAGAACGAGCACGTCGAGAGTAGAATCAGGTGTATGCGGCACTTGTTGATAAACACGAAAGCTACTGCAGATTGATTTGTAGGCGTGCGAAGTTCCACGAGGGTAGTCGACGCCTCACGAACTTTCCTATCGATTCATGCGAAAAGGGCGCTTCTATTTAAGCTCTGGTCCACATGTTCAACTCTTTCTCTCTTTTCTTTTTTCTTTTTTTTTACAATACATATCAACTATTCCTCATTTCAATCACAATTCAGGCCGAGTTAAAGTTATGCAGCAAACCCTAGCAACCATTTGAAAAGATTACAAATTTGTTAAATAACGCGCATTTTATCATATTGTCATTTTTATTATATAATAGTATATTATATATATATATATTTTTTTTTTAATTATAAATTGAAATGTCCTCTTCTTCTTCTTCTTCTTCTTCTTCTTCTTCTTCTTCTTCTTCATTTCAAATTTGAATCCGGAAGGATATAAATTTAAGTAAAAAAAATAATAAAAATGAAAAGAAGAAGAATATGAAAAAGTTGAACTTGTATTTTCTCATTTCTCATGAAATATCACGTAATGTTAAAGTGCACGTTGCAAACCCTGAAATAACATCTTCGTGAGAGATATTGACGTCATCTTAAGTAGGATATTAATTGCGTTGAAATATAGAAATGGAGAACATGCACGATATGCATTTATAGCATGTAAATATAATAAAATAAATTCTAAATCTGTATTCATGTGTATCTGTTGTGGTATCTTTGGTATAGAATTTACAAAATCAAGTTTCATCTTTTACGATCAAATCGACCTCGAATATCTATAAAAGGTCTCGACGAGATTTTCAAAAAAAGAACAAACAAGACATCATTAAACCTGTAAATGGAGTTAATGTTATCTGGTAGATAAAACATATAAATTATATGAACAAATGAGATATAAATTGATAATTCAACAAAAATAAATGATAAAAATGAATGAGTTGATTTGATGAAACTATTGAAAATAACAATATTTGATCTTAAACGAGATTAAGATGAAAATAATTTTTGTTCACAAAATGAAATTGTTTCATTACGTATGTATGTAGAAAATGTATGTTTAGATAGATTATGATGAAATATTTAACCTGGCACAGCACCCTTTCATCTGGCTATCGTCATCGCGATGAATCTTCTTCCGTCGTTCTAAACGAAATTTCATTTCTGCTAGTCCAAGTGTTTGTCCTCTTCGTCTACTTTTCCGTTTAACACGTAGAACCAATTTTGGTTTATGCTGACGCACAGAGGAATGCATTTCTATGCTAGTCGAATCGAATCTGACTCGAAGATGATAGAAATATTTAATATGAAATTTCGATCTCGCTAACTCGCTAGATCTTCATTTTATGCTTCCTTGGTAACTCCAAGATTTTTTCTTACTCATCCTGCCTAAAGCAACGATGAGGTTACGTAAGGTCAAGACAATGATCTCGATTAAGATGGACGGCGTGCTTTGAAGTCAGTCAAATTTTATTCATTCGATTCTCGAATAAAGTTACTTACAATTTTTTAATATTACAGATGTACAGATAATATATAATATAATATTTGTTTATTTGTTTAAATAAACCAGCCACACCCATGTAATAGATCAAAAACTATATATCAAACATCATTTTACCTTGTTAAAGGACCGAGCAAACAGGGTGACGGTGCTACAGCTTCGTTTTGAATATTAGAAATGCAAATTCGAACGTCAAAGATAGCTCTCGACCACACCCTCCTCGTCTAAGAGATCTAAGCGCGAATTCGACGATCTTTCAACCGGTTTACGTTTACAGTTTTTTTTTCTATTTTCATCGGTATACATATATACAGGGTGACTCAAATAATTCTATTCATATTAATCTGTTGATTTTTTGTATCTGTCTTTTCTCTTTCTGTCTTGGCGTCGTCACGTTACAAACACTTTCCATCATTTTTCTTCTAAACTTCATGAGAATCAATAAATTTTCGACTAACCACGACTATTCTTCTTCGTTTATTCCAATGTCCACTCGTCTATTTACTTCAACTCTTCTCCAGACTTCATTGTTACGCTCATTATCCTCACAAAGGATCCTCTATTTCTATATTTACACCTTTTTCCTTTCCTTGTCTTTCTTTTTTTTTTTTTTACCAGCAATCTTTACAAGTACTACTCCATTACTTTTATTATGAACAAAAAAAGTTTTTCTATCTACTATTTTCTTTTTCTTAACTTCTCATTATTGAGAAATATAATAATCATTGCAAAAAGTTATCTGACTCACCCTATATAAGTGTACATAAGTTATCTTCTTTTTACTCATCTTTCGATGCAATCGTCGAGTCATTCGAACTGTATTAAAATTTTCTCGTTGAAATATTTACGATAAAACCGTCGAAGATTTACCGAAAAAAAGATAAAGAAAGTAATGAAATACAAAAATTGATATTAATTAATAAAAAGGAAAATAACTTAACGATATCTAACGCAATGTCGATTCATTAATTTTACAGCAAATGATTAAATATCTTTTTTCAATTTTATTAAATGGAAATTTTAAAAGTATTCATAAATAATGTTCAATTAATATGATAATTAATTGAAATTGGCGAAGTGTTAATTTAAAAAAGAATAATAAAAAAGAAAACCCATATGAACGTGAATTTTTCACTGAATTCAATCGTGTTCTCTCCAGATTACTCGTGTCAAATATAATAAAGCTAATTATAATAGTTGATCCTTCTTACAAGAACATACTCGATTGCTCGTGAAAAGAAGCAACGACTATGGGCTTGTAGAAACTAACAAAAAAGAAGACTCAGGAATGAAATTTCACGTGGTGGGAGTGTTGCTCTTCGAGAACTGGATATATAAATCGCGAGTAGGGCTGAAATTCAAGTTAGTGCTGTGCTAGTTTTTCTCTGACAATAAGTGAGCTTCTCTGTACGCAATGCAGGTAAAATCATAGTCATCGAGAAGACAAAGACTCAATTTTTTATTCTAATCGTCAATGAAATCCTTATTGTCTTTTATTCTATTATTATTCGTTTTATCTATTTAACATTCTAACATGTTAGAAAAATCGAAGAAAGAGGAAAAGAATAAAGTCAAATAAAATAAAAAACACGGTTCGAAGGTTGTCGTTTATCTTTTCTCTGATTTTTTATGTATGCTCAATAAACGTGACACACATGTTCAATAAAAGCACACGTTATTTAACTTTTATTTATGTTCAAACTATCATCATATTTTTCTTTTTTGGCTTTGTCCACTGCCATAATCATCGACACTTATATCAAAAAATGTAATTTAATGATTTGACGTTAATAGGGTGAAACGTCTAGATCATTTCTCTTTCTCATCGTGACCGTCTCAATCATCGAAATTCAATCTACGTCACTTGCCAAGTTATATCCAAGCAGTTATCAATATCCGCAAATGATCCATCCTGAATATTATCAAATTGCTCATCAGAATGCTCTCGCACCCTATTACATATACAATTTGCTTCAGGTAAGATATATTAATCATTATTAATCAATTACATACTATATTTTTAAAAATGCATATGTATTTATTTTATAGGTACACACTGATTTAACATCTAGTAGTCCAACAATTTTGCCAGAAAAACAAACGACACTTACTCATTTGCCACCCTATGGATATTATTACTACGATTTCAGATTTCCGATTAATCCGGTAATTAATTAATAATAATTTGATAATGTTAAGTAATATAAAAGTGAATTCAAACTTATTTATATTATTTTATTTGAAATTTAATGTTACAGATATATCCAGTATTGAGTCCATCTCGTCCTGGATTTATTCCAGTATCAGGATCACCACCGATATCAACTCAACGTCCATTCGTTGATGTTGACAATGACGACGACAGTGGTATCGAGAAACTGGACACAAAAATTGAGCCAGATAATAAACCTGATAGTAATGATGGAATTTATGAGGACGATGACACGATCGCTATCGAAGCTATTAAATAACATTTACAGTCCAATTCATTTAACCAAATTCCTATTTCTTATATATGTTTATTGAAAAATAATTTTGTCTAAAAAAAATAAGTGGACTTTAATTAATATTTATTTAAAAGTTTTGCGAATCTCAATAACATTTTCTTATATCAAGATGTATAGAATTTCTTAATTGGTCACACATAATATTTATCTCAACGGATTATTTTTTATCACGTGGATAATAAAATAACATTAAAAAAAAAAAAATTACAATAGGAAAATAGTTTTGTTGGTTTCTTTCCCTTGCTCAATGTTGCAATTAATTCATATGAATCATATGCATATACTTATCATGACACAATGCGATAATGGTTTGCCATATTGGATTTATTATTCTTAAAATAAATTATAGAGTGAAAAAGAGAGAAAGAGAGAGAAAGAGAAAAGCTAGTAGAGGTTACTGACCCAAAGCAACAAAGATAAAACTTGGACGAAGTCGTTCGAGAGAAATTCAATTCCATCATTGAACTTTACAACGCGAATAAGTTTAGATCTATTCAATCGAACATGATCAACGTACGAGGAAGTAAAATTCAAATCATTTTTGCTTGTTGGTTAATAGTTTTATTTATGGTGATCGCTTCTCATGTAATTTTAAAATTGGAAATTAATCACGACGATGTATTCGTCCAAAAACAAGTGACATTATCCGATAATCTTGGAAAAACCAAAGAAGAAAATTCCAATTTTCGAAAAATATTGAAAGAAATTAAGGAATTCCCTAATAGAAAGATAAACGAATCTGATATTAATAAAGAACAAAATGTATTAGTGACGAAATACGACGAGTTAAATCAATTGCAATCGAATAAAATAGAAAGTGAAATTAATTTAAATGATCAGACAAAATATTTTTCAATTTTTACGAAGAACAACGATATTTTTAAAAAACCATCAAATTCGAATGAAAAATTGACGTACAAGATTAATGAAGATATCAACGAAACAAATGACTCTAATGATTTAATATTAAATAGAAACGTACGAAGTATTAATAGAACGGAGTATTATGCTCAGAGAAAAGCAGTTATGGATAAATTTCATGCTCGTCAACGAGAAATAAGCAAAAAGTATGGAAAACAGTACTATAATAATACTTCAATTCGTAAAAACAATCAAACGTTAAATGAAATGACCAAAACTTTCAAGAAAACGAATAATTCAACTTTGGATATCTTAAAAGTAGCTTCTAATAATACTAATATTAGATCAGAATTAAATAATAAAACTAATCAATATGAAAAAGATACTGAAAAGAAGAGATTTCAGATCTATGATAACTCTATAAAGGATATTACTAATTATACTTCGATATTGAATAATAAAATTAATAAAAATGAAGAAAATACTGAAAAAAAAAGATCTTGGATCAGTGATAACTCATTAGGGGATGTTACTAATTATACTTTATCCTCTAATCATAATTGTACGAATTTAATTGTACATGGTAATTATTTAAATCAAAACCAATTGACAATATCTTGTTTGGAAAATCGGAATGAAATGATTGTTAAAAAACTTAACGATACATTGTCTTCCAGACCAATCAGAGTAAGTTGATTAATTTTTACTAAAAAATATCAACATATTTCAACATTTTTTTATTATTTAGGCTACCAATGGAGAATTAATATGGGGAACATGCAATGGTACATTGGTTTATGAACACAATTTTTCATTAAACATAAATGGTCCATCCATTCTCGAAACTGACGTGGAAATTATCGTTGATGGACCTCTTTGTATAACATGTATTACAATACTTCCATACAATGATACCAAAGAGGATGTTACTAAGGTGTCAGGTGGAGAAGGTTTCAGTCATGTTACGATCAAATTCAAAAATTCCGAAAACAAAGGATTCTCATATAAAATTAGAATTTTTGCTGTAGTAAAGAGAGACGACAATTGCTCTTAAAAACTAACGGTATTTATTTTAAAAACATAAAATAAACAATAAGTTAGTTTTTTTTTCTTCAATTGCTATATTATAAAAGAAAGAAAATTTTCAAGAAGAACAAGAGAAATTTAACTATGAACAATATATATATATATATATATATATATATATATATATATATATATATATATATATATATATATATATATATATATATATATTTGTTTTGTTTTGCAGTCTCTATCAGCCTCGAAAGTATCTCAAGAAAAATTCTCAAGAATATAATCCTCTAATACATTGGTTCTCAAACTTCTGTAACGAGTTTTTTTTACAAATTATTAAAGTTACAAAATTTTGATAAAGATATTGAGAACCATTGTTAAAGTGGTTCCTCATCAACGTGAATTTTTCGGTGATGACGTTGGCACTGGTGGTGGTGGTACATCCGGTATCTTCTCTTTCTCATTTCCTTCTTTTCTTCTATCCTTATTTTCATCAGAACTATAATTTGGCAGAATATTTCCATTCAAGGCTGGTTTTGGAATAATTGGTGGAATCGGTGCGAATGGTTGATAATCAACATAATAAGTTCCCGGTATCAAATGGGGATTGAAAGCATTGTAAGTGTAAAAATAAGGATCATAATAAAGTGATTGATAATTTGGATAAAAGCTTAGTGGCACTTCTTCTTCTCCATCTTTTTTCCCTTTTTTCTTCTTAGAATTATCCTCACTTTGTTTCTTAACATTAGATGCCTCGGAACTTCCATCTTTTTCGGTAACTGATTCTGTAGAACCATCAGCAATATCTTCAGGTTTTTCAGTATTACCAGTTGGTTGTTCGGTACGTGGAAAATGTATCACTTCCGGTCCAGCGAGGTGAGGTGCTACGTTAGCATAATAAAATGGTGGCACGTAACCGATCGCAGTTCGATGAATTACTGGTTGTATCACTGGGTAAGCTCTCGATGGTGAAAGATTTTGATTACTTGTGATCACAGCGTTGTATACTTTTGGAACCCTCAATAAGCCTGGTTCTGATGCCACGATACATATCAATAGTGATATGATCAGGATTCTCATCTGAAGAAAAGTATGCTTAATTGGGATTACATTTCTCGAGTAATCACTTTTGTTTTTTATATATAATACTATTATATATCTACAAATTTTTACTTAAATAAATCAAATGCTTCTCTCTCTTTTATCCTATTGAAAGAATGTAATGCAATGCAACTCAGTGGTATGCGTGTTGCAACAGAATACATCATGTTTAAAGATCATTCGTCTTATATTATCTGATAACTTTTACCCCATAGGATAATTAAACAATTATTTTAATCAGTAATTTAAATATTATAAGAAAATAATAAAATACTATCATTTATCTCATAGATACACGCACACGAATACTCGTCCTACATTCTTTATCCACGTTCCTGCCACGTGCCGAGGTACTCGACTCGGTTATTGTTTCTGAGAAGGTAAATAACATGTCGATAAAAGAAGAAAAAAAGAAGAAAACAAAAGGGCAGAATGAATAAGAAAATGAGAGCGAGAAAGAGACAAGGATCTTGCGTGTATACCTGTGAGAATGTATTAAACCACAGGAGGCGAACGTGTATAGAATATTTCATCGAAATAAAATCTGCTGTAGGTGTTTATGCGATCACTATGTTTATTCAATCTAAAGCATTATATAAAAAATCGATTCCAAAGAAAAGCATTATCAATTTGAAAAATTGAATAAATAATTCTAAAAATTCTAATCAACATATTAATGTTCATTCAATGTGTATTCATCTAAATCCAGTTAAATCATTCGATCCTGTTAGAGAAATAATATTTAAAGTAATATTGAAAATTCCTAAAATTCCAATGCTCACCTTTATTGTTCAACTCTAGAATTGGCCTTCTTGATGAACGCGTCGAAGAACGTTGCTTGTTAAGAACGGGGATCGTCGAGAAGCTGACAGTAAGTAGCAAGAGAGTTGCATGCTCCCGTAGTATATATGGCTTATGGGGTCTCAGGGTTCAAGTCTCAACTCCCCCACTACATAACCAACTCGCAGCGAAAGTACTCACCGATAGCCATGTACTATAAGGTCCCAACTTCGAGTCTGACTATAATAATGTAAGGAGTGCTGATAAAACGTAGAAGGACGTCAACAATTGGCTGATGTTCCTTTTCCAAATCTAACAAATGCAAGGACCTTTACTTATATCATACAATTTTTCATACCAATATCATGATTTTAAATCATTTCAATTAATCGTATATTTACATAACAATTATCTTCGCAATATTTAAAATATCATTTGATCGATCATATCGTAATATATTTAGAAACGAAAGTGGGCTACTACTACCTTGAACGAAACTCTCATTTCTACGTCACCTTACTAGGACAATGTACACTAATAAAATCGTATACTATTCTTTAATTTATCTAGGGACACATGTGTAAAATCAACAACTATCACTTTTCATTTTGATCACATTTCCTTTTCAATAATTCATACATACGATAATTGATTACACAATAATTAATATCATTTTGATAATTATTATGTGAATAAATAAAATACGATATTGAAAAAGAAATTTGAAAATATTCTAAATAATTATCAAACGCCATAATATTTTTCACCTAACATTCCTATTATATGCCAACTCATATAATATATTCACGTTAAATATACATAGAGTTAACGATTTATGTTCATAAATAATTCATCGTCCGTTACCTTTGCTCCCTTTTGCCAAGTTGCTAGCTTTTCTAATAAACTATACAAAAATATTTTTAACGCATATTGTACTTGACTTTGTTATGTTATATTATTAAAGTCCTTGCTAAATGCTAATAATATAATAGAACATATTATTATACTAGTTGCATGAAGAAATTTCTTGAAAATGAAATATAGCACGTGTCTATCTATCAGATCGATGGAATTTCAATTGGATTATCCTTGAATTTGATTTTTTCTCTTCGCTATCTTTATCATACTAGTTTGCTCTCAACAATATACTCTACATATGAATCAAAGATAATTTTTCATTTTATATAAAAATTCGCATAACAAATAAGATTATGAAAACATTTTGATTGTAAAAAATAGTAATAAAAACAACAGGAAATACCTTCGATTCTATTCATTATTGAGATATCCTTCATGCATACAAACACGAATAAATAATTAGAACAAAAAATAATTGCATTATTATAGTCGAAGGTTTTGTTAATTAACTCTACATAGACATAATTACTAACGTAATATTAATTTTTAATTAAAGCTGATATATAATCGTATTCGTATTTTGATTTGCACAGTTACCATTTGATTTTCTTCCATGAACCACGCAAATTTCCCAAGAATCAAATATTTCTCAATCGTATTAAACTCGGTGGTTCGAGATAACACAATTTTTATCGAAATTAAACATTAAATCTTACTTAAATTCGTTCGAACGTTTCAGCTAATCAACGTATAGAAACCAGAGACATTTTTTTTTTGTCATTCTTGAGATCTACAAAATTTATCTAATAAAATGAAAATCCAAATAATTTCTAGATGTAGTTCAAAATATGGAAAAACAATGCTTAAAGAATTTTATATTTCTTTGAAAATACTATCTGTTTTTATCGAATTGACTGAAAATAATTGTCATATGGATTCCATTGGTATATAACACATTCTACGTAAAACTAATATTGGAAAATTTGGTAGAAAGACGATCAGCAACAGCACCAATGGTGACAATAATAACAGCAGGGCAGCATATAACACCAACCACCAGATCGGTGATATTCCAAGAACTGGCTCTAGCATGGTCCTTCTTCTTCTTCTTCTTTTTCTTCTCTTTTTCCTCCTCCTTCTTGCTATTATCGTTTGTTATCTCTATCCAATGATATTCGATAGAGGATGGGCATGACAATCAAGAGGATTGAGGACATTGAGAACAATGGTAAGTCAACTCATTGTCAAAATTTCCTGCAAAAAAAAATCGTAGTATATAAATCACGTATAATATCAATCATGTGTAAATATAAATTTGTGATTATATTTATAAATTCTTAAAATTTTCTTATAAATTAATTATTAAAGAATATAATTTTTTTACTTCTCAATGTAACCTTGGGGATAAATAATCAGCGAATAACTTGAAGAAAAGATAATTTCATGGTCAGCTTTTAAAAAAATACTTGATATAAAAATTTAAAAAAAAAAAGAACAAAGTAATACTTTGCCGACAATTTGTTGATAAAAAATAAAGACACAAACGTCCTTGTGAAAAATAATAAACGTTCGCTTGCTCACTTGTGAGACCGGTTAGGTGAGGTCCTAGTTGTCTTGTTAAACAAGAAAGGGAAAAATAAGAAAGAAAGACAAACAGACATACGAAAACGTATATACATGTGTATAGAAGTATGCGAAGTAAGAGGTTTAAGACAAAATATGTTTTTCGATAAAACTTTAAATCCGTGCTATATCGCATATAAACACATACGTAAATTTACGCACATACACACACACACACATACATATGACATATGATACATATACATTTAAATTATATATAATTACACTTGCAGATATATATAACCGCTCATTACGAACATTAAATTTGATACTATGCTGTTTCAGAATACCTTAATACATATACATACTTTTTAAATGGCACACATGTCCATAAATATTATGTAGAACTACACACATGCAAACACATGTGATCGCTCATCATGAACGTTCAACCGGACACGATTGCATCGCAGAAAGAGAAATTTTCTCGATTGCATAACCATGCTATAATAGTATTATTTAACCGAGTGTAGATCGCTTAAAACGATGTCAGTAAACTAACTAAAGTAATTATTTTTTAACAATGTGCACATGAAGTATTATATGTATAAATATTAATCACATAAAATGTTCTATGCAAGATTTTTACAACTATTATAAAATTCATTTTGTGCATAATAACAAAATTCAAATAATTTGTATAACATTCTAAAAACGTAGAAAGTGTTTAGAAAACATGTCATTAACATCAATAAATCCTTAAATCGTCGAAGATCTTTCATTATGATCTTAAGATACTATTCACATTTGAATTAATATACTTATTTTCACTCATTATCATACTCGTTTTACAAACTAAATAAAACTTGTTTCGTGAGAGAGAAAGAAAAAATTGTAAGCATTCTCTTCAACTTACTTGTAAGAAACAAAGAATATATGATGTATAAATTAACAAAAATACATTGACACTATGCACAGGCTATGTTTTAAACGTGATCTTTCCACACACACAAAATGAACGAAATAAAAATAGGAAATAATAATTATAACGTAGATAGTAAAAAATATATTGTTATCAATGACTCACCTTTATATCCGCGTCAATCATTGAGTACAAAGTTCAAACGATACCGACCGAGTTCATGTTAGCCGATAATTTGAATATAATTTTTTGGGGAAAAAATTAAAAAACAAAAAAAAGAAAAGAAAAGAAAAAGGAAGAAGGAAAGGGATCTTATAAGAATATCTCCGAAATGTACGTACCGAGTGAACCACCACTCGCTTTCCGCAGACTGAACACGATGATCTAGCTAACCGGTGTTCTCTCTCTCTGAACTTTCCCTTTCTTTCGAACTCCTTTACCTCTTCGCCATATACAACGACGATCTGTTCTCCCCACTTTTCCATTTCAAATCAACGTACTGGACAGTCACTTAATGTATATGGTAAGAATGTAATGCAAGTAATGTAACTTGTGACCCGTTATTACGATCATTCAAAAAACGTATGTAATACAGAAAGAGAAAGAAGGACAGAGAGACAAAAAGAAAAATATATAACGAGGCAATAAAAAAATAAGTTAAAGTACATACCTACCTTATGAAAGTGAATGGTACACGTATATCTATTTAAATACGTATATATAATTAGGTGTTTTATCTGAATTACAAGTCGCAAAGTGACATAAGATTATTAATCATAAAAACATCTTTTTCTTATTCTTGAATATAATGACTTCACCTTATTCTTTACTTTTATAAACTTTCTTATTCAAATATAAATTATTAATTCTTTTTAAATTCTAATAGATCGATAAAATCCTTTACTGTATTATCGACCGAAAAATAATACAAATTAAATACATATTAATTTAATTTAGTTTAATTAATTTTCAATTATATATTATTATATCATGAATTATTTTTAACAAGTATTGGCCTGTCAACTTTTTATCCATCGCTGTAATACCTTATGTAATAACTGTGAATGCTTTGTAACGATGTATGTAAAGGATTGTATGGTGTACTGTATATGTGCGTGTGTTGAGTATTACGTATGTATATATACATTTATGCATCGAAAATCGGTGATGGGAAAAGTGGGTTAACGTTACCTTGACCCATCTTAGTAATTGATGTAGAACAAATTGTTTGGAAATTAAATGTAAAGTAATACGTATTAACCAATCTAATGGATTCAAAGAGAATAGTTTCTTGTGTTCGTGATTTTTGGTAATAGTATTATAAAAAACATTAAATTTTCTCTACACATATCCATTCGTTTCTATATGCAAATATTATATATAATCATATATTATGATAATATAAATTTGGAAATAAATAAGAATTGAAAATGAGGAAGGTTATTATGAAAATATATGCAAACATTTGATTAAATTATTCGATAGAAAATGTTATCCAATTTATTATTAGATCTATAGAAAGTAACGCAAATATATAACTGTATATATTATAAATATTGTAAGATGATTACAATTATTTCTACGAGATAGCGCTAGTGTAGTCGAAACAGTTTCGGTTCATGTGAAAGTATTGAGTGTGTCAGACAGTGGTGCATGTTATGAGAAATATACTTATTTAATGGTAAGTAGCTTCTTTTCAAATAAAAATAAATATATAATTCACGTATATTTTGAATTTAAAACATCTGAAAAAAATGATATTTTATTCGATAATGAAAATGTTTATAACGTCAGTAACATAACCTTACATTTGTTGATTTCAAGAAGATTTCAAGAATTAAGGATAGCTTGAATGAATAAAATGTCTGATGTACGAGATATATTGGATATTGAAGTTCCAACTACTACGGAACTTACGAAAGAATCTATTTTGGGAAGTGATAAAAAGAATAAAAAGAAATATGAATATAAGGTACCAAAACGTCCAGAGGGTATGCACAGAGAGGTCTTTGCTTTATTGTGCAAGGATAACAATGATGTCCCACCATTATTTCCAACCGATACAGCTAAAGGATATAAACAAGTTAGAGCTAAATTAGGTATGAAAAAAGTAAGACCATGGAAGTGGACTCCATTTACTAATCCTGCTAGAACTGACGGTGCTGTTTTTCACCATTGGAGAAGAGTCGCCGATGCAGGAAAAGAATATCCTTTCGCTAAATTCAATAAGAAAGTTCCCATACCGACTTACACGAATGCTGAATATGTTCAACATTTAGTTACTAATGGTTGGACTCGTGCAGAGACCGATCATTTGTTTGATCTTTGTAGAAGATTTGATCTTAGATTCATTATAATAAAAGACCGATGGGATAAAAACAAATTTCCTATTAGAAGTGTAGAAGAATTGAAAGAAAGGTTATCATCATTTTTATCTTTTTTTTATTTACTTAGTTTTATATACAGATGTATTAATTTTTTTTTTTTTAATTTTAGATATTATCAGGTTGGCGCAGCTTTGATTAAAGCAAAATCTCATACGGAGAAAGTTTACACTTTTGATGCAGAACACGAGAAACGAAGGAAAGATCAGTTAAAGAAGTTGTTCGCTCGGACGCCGGAACAAGTGGAAGAAGAACAAACTTTGTTAGCTGAATTGCGTAAAATAGAACAAAGAAAGAAAGAAAGGGATAGGAAAACACAAGATTTGCAAAAATTAATAACTGCGGCAGACCATCAAGCAGATCCAAGGAAAAGCGAAAGAAAACCTTCCAAGAAAAATAGTAATTCTTCTAGAAACAGACCGAATAAAATTGATGCTTCTCATGTACGAGTACAGCAATAAGAAAGTTAATCTTCTTTTACAAAGATATGCTTAACTATAGAATAATTATTTTTAGGCTGTAGAGTCTGCCGGTATCAAGTTTCCTGATTTCAAAAACAGCGGAGTTTCATTGAGATCGCAAAGAATCAAATTGCCAAGTAGTCTTGGACAAAAGAAAATGAAAGGCATTGAACAAATGTTAAATGAATTAAATATAGGTATTAAATGTGGCATATGATCTTATGTTATTATACTACTAATCTAATTATATACTAAAATTAATGAATTTTACAGAACTAAATCCTCCACCTACGGAACAAATATGTCTGCACTTTAATGAATTAAGAAGTGATATAGTGCTTCATTATGAACTACGAAGTGCTTTGTCTACCTGTAATTATGAACTGCAATCATTAAGGCATCAATACGAAGCTCTTGCACCAGGAAAAGTAACGTCATTGAATAAACAAGAAATTTATTTTTAATAAATCTTCTATATTTGAATGTATTTTGATCTACGACTGTTTTTTTTTTTTTTTAGACTTTGACAATACCTCCAGCTCTTTTACCAAAAACAGAGCCCGAAGTAAAAGCAGACATAATAGATGTTGTCGGATCACCAAGTATGCCAAATGTAAATCATTAAGTATTAATAAACTACTTATTGTAAATATTATATAATCTAAACTGATAATTTGTATATACTTAACAAGTGAATAATCCATCGGCTTCTGAAATATTTCTTCTATGCTGTAAGGTTTCTACTTTCCGTGAAATGGACAAAAACGAATGAAAAATAAATAAATTAAAATTCTTCTAATTGTAAGAGATATGAACATTATTGTCTTTCATTGAAAAATAACATTAATAAAATATACGCCAAATTAGATTTAATAAACAATCCATACGAACGACAAAAAGGGAAAGAAGTATACGAGGCACGTGGTTACTTATATATCTGTGTATTTTATATTGTCGACAAAAAGTAACAATGTACGGTGAAACCGTATAATTTATCTACAACAATCTACAATAGATTACAATATGTTGTCTTGTCGGAGGATGGCGGAGAAGGACGAATACAAGAACTGGATTTGGTTGGAGGTTTTTGCTTATATAATCTGTTTTTTTTTTTCTTTTTTTTCTTTTCTCATCTTATCTTCTTCGAATAAGGATTACAGGAGGGGGAAAAAAGGTATCGAAGGAAAATGCGTGTATATGCTGAGGTGTTTTGGTAGTGGTGGTGTTGGTGGGTGGGTAAGAGGTTTAAGGGTGGAATCAGGGTTAGGGGTAGAGATGGTCGATACAGGCCTTTCTTCGTTTCGTGCTCCGTTATTCGCAATACAATTGATTTTAATTCTATAATAAATTACTCGATAACTCTAACCGTACTTGGTACGGCATAATGCATCATATATCTCTGTATGTGTGTGTGTTGTAATGATCGATAAAGCCGACCCGCAGACTTTTCTATCGGCTGTGTGGGCCAAGAGGACTGTCACGGATATAGAAATTCGAACGTAAATGAGAGTTTTCTTTTCCTTCACCCGTTGCATTAGATACGTGATCTTAAATACATTCAAAAACGATTTAACTATTTTTTTTAATACTTGTTTCGTTGCGCGTCTTCTCATGATGAAACAAAAAACATCCAAATATCTGATAAAAATACAAAACTAAAGGGGAAAGTTAAATAATAAAATTATATTTTCAAAGGGGAAGAAAACTTTTCGTTTATCAAATGTATTCTAAAATGATTTCGATTTGTATTTAAATTATAATTTGAATATTTTCAATGTAACATTAGAAAAAAAAATATATATTTTAAAATGCTTATGAAAAAGGGTAATGGATGATGGCCGCATCGTTGATCCGCATGCGATAGTCACTACCGTCAATCGGTGTAACACTACTACAACTATTTTTTTCTCTTTCTTCCCTTTTCTGTCTCTCTTTCTCTTTTTCTATCTTTCTCTAATCGTCAAGGGTTAGAAAACACGCACGCGATAAACAAGCTTCGATTGATTCAATCCTTGAAAAAGCTCATTTTCGCATCACGATTTCGCATTGCCACTTTTACGAAATATGTCTATATAATAATAATAATAATAATAATAATAATAATAATAATAATAATAATAATAATAATAATAATAATAATAGTATATTTTGTTTATTTATCTATCTGTCAATTTTCTAATAATTTAGGAACCGAAAGTGGCATTTGAAACGAATTATTAACGGCGATCAAAAATCTGTTTATGTTTTATTCGTAATTTCATAAAATCGTTGCTTCATGTTGAGATTCGAACATTCGATAAAACTAATCTTAAACTATATGTATAATAATATAATTTTGTTTTTTCTCGGTTCGTTTCGGGTTTTTATTTCTTCTTTTCTTTTTCGATCATTGCCAAGAAGCAAGTTAACAGAAGTTTTCAATTAAATTATTTTCTCTTTCTCTCTCCCTCTCTTTCTCGCTCTTTCCTTTTTTTCTTTCATTCAATATTATGTTTATATAACAATTTTATAGAAGAAGAAAAAACAAGTAAAGAAGAAAAAAATAAGAGAATGACGTAATTAGAGAAAAATAGTTAAATTAAGTCAGAGAGTTTTTTCGAGAGTGTCTTACAAGACGTCGAGGATTAACGTAAATCAAAAACTTATAAATAAAATATAAATGGAAAGTAAAAAAATAAGAAATCATTCGTTCCTCCGACCCTCGAGACTTCAAGCCAAGCAGGAAGGCACGTCGAAGCATTTTTCCCTGGATTTTTATTTCTTTTTTTTTTCTTTTTTATTCTTTTTCTTCATATTTTTTGCTTTTATTTCGTTTCCATTTCTCTCTTATCTTAGTCAAGTTTCTCGATCGATCGAAATCGTTCGATCCCTGAATCGAGCACCCGTTTTCTTTTTATTTTTATGTATGTATATATATATTTTTTTTTTTGTTTTCGCTCATTTTCACGAGCAAGCCCTTTTTTTCGGATGAGTTAAAAGGTTCGTTGAATTCGGGCAGTGGACCATTCGACGAACGTATTCAAAAACGAATAAAAAAAAAAAAAATAGAAAATATTCTGTAAAAGAAAGAAAATTAAAAAAAAGGCAAAAAATATAAAAAAGAGTCTCTTTTTACAATCTCGAATCCTGTCCTGCAGGCATTCATTACGTTATATAAAAACATAATTATTATCAATGGGCCCGCTATCATTACACCGTTTCTATATACACTTTTATCTTTCTCTCTCTCTCTCTCTCTCTCTCTCTCATAATCTCCTCTTTACTTTTCTTTATTTTTATCTTTTGAAATGTATTTCCTTAAGGGAGGACTCCGCAAAGTTTACTTCCCTTTTATTATCAACGCGAGTACTTCGTGTATCTTGATAATGTTTTTTTTCTCTTTTTAAAAAGAGAGAGAGAGAGAGAAAGAAAGAAAGAAAAAGAAGAAAAGGTCAAGTCTCCATCTCTCCATCTTTCTCTTCTTTCTATTGTTCCTCTCCTCTTTTTCCTTTTTTTTTTCTATTTTTTATTTCAATTTTTTTTTCTTTCAAAATGAAGCATCATCAATGGAACAAACGAGGAGGAGACTCTCAGCAACTTATGTAGATGGAAAGAAAAAAGATTTGGGGAGCCTCGAGAAGTCACGGGACTCATCTTATACATATACAAATGCATACATGCGCACACACATTTAATCATGATTTACATTCATACACACATACATACATACACATATATAAATAAATATATATATATATATATGTATATATATATTCTTTCTTTCTTTCTTTCTTTCTTTCTTTCTTTCTTTCTTTCTTTCTTTCTTTCTTTCTTTTTTTCTTTCATTCTCCCTCTTCCTTTTTTTTGTTTTTTTAATTTTAACCAGTGCGAAGTCCGATCGACGTTACTTTACAGTAATAACAATAACAACAACAACGATAATTAATGCCGGTAGTTTAATTACGATAGTTTAATAACGGAGACGAAAGAAATCCGTGTGCTGGTATATTGTTGTATTATAATATCGGTAATAATTATATATATATATATTTTTTTTCATATTCTGTTATCTTCCTTTCCTTTTTTTCTTTCCTTTAAATAGTCATAGATCGTTTTTTTTTTTCATCAATTAATTGTAAGTAAATAAGTAACAACGGCGTTATGTGGACGTTGATACTTGTTAATTTCTTCGTTTTAAATGTATAATAATGCATTTTTAATGTAAATATATAAGTACGATCTGATCACGCGCCGCTCATTCGAATTACAAATGCGATACTAATTTTTTTTTATTAAAGAAGAGAGCGTAATTGTAGATCATAAATCGTGTGAAATTTATGCGAATAAATAAACAACTTTTTTAATCTGCCAAATGATCAATTAATTGTCGAATCATTCGAAGGTGCAAGAGATTTTAGAAAGTAAATTCAGATATCACGATCTCAATTGTGATAATAAAGTATTAATATAGATTGTTAGAATATATGAGAATAAGAAAGAAAAAAAAATTAATAGGTACTATAATCAATTTATTGAATTATTTTGTAAAAATTGTTCGAACGTCTTATTATTTTTCATATCTTTTTCTTTTTTTGGTTTAAATCTTTTTTTCGTCATGCATAAGTCACAAGTAATGAGTAGCGAGAAGAGAAGTTTGAGAAAATATTATGCGATTAGAATAAAAAAAAAAAAGAAATTGTTTAATTCTTTGCGTTCTTGATCAATTTTGTTTTTCATTAGCAGTCTATTCATTGTAAGCGTTTATTTTAATACACGTAGTAACTCTTTTCAAAGTAATTAGATTGAATAGAATAATAAGAATCAATGTATTATTATTTCTTTCCCGATATTTTCTTTCGTGATAATTTATATCATTATCTGTAGAGTTATTGTCGATGATTCTCAACAATCTTGTTCTCTCTCATTTTTTATTATTTTTTTTCTTTTTTGTATTTTTTTTTTTTTTCTTAGTCTTATTAAAGATATCGATTTCATTTTTTTCCCCTCGGATTATTTAAATCATTAAACGTTAAATAACGATTTCCCTTTTATGATTCAATTTGAATGGAAAAATATTTCAACTTTTTTTTTTTTTAGTCGCATAACGAAGATATATATATATACATAAACAACTAATAATAACAATTATTGATCATTTTTATCTTCGATTACATTTTGTCCTGATTTTGACATAAATCGAAGGAACGGGTGAGATCACTCGTGAGAAGAAGAGGAACAAGACGAAGAAGAAGAAAAAGAAGAAGAAGTAGATGTAGTAGAAGTAGAAGTAGAAGTAGAAATAGCAAAAGCGTGATACAATAATCATTTCATTTAGATATACTAACAGAGCAAAACTACACGTTGCAAAGCGAGCGAATGGTAACGAGTTACGACACTTGGATTTTGCGTTTAGAGAAAGAGAGAGAGAGAAAGAGAGAGAAAGAGACCATTTCTCATCTTCCTTTTATTATAAAAAAAAGAAATCGTATATTATAATTTCAGTATCAATATTACAGTAACTGTATCTTTCTGTAACTTATATTTCTCTCTCTCTCTCTCTCCCTCTCTCACTCACTCTTTCTCTCTCTCTCTCTTTCTCCCTTTCTCCATCTCCATATATCGCTGTTATTTATATCATTTTCGTATAACACGTAACATGAGAAATCGTACTTATTTCGTAAAGACATTCCCTAGACAACACGGCTACAGTAATGCGATATGGATATGTGCGCAAGTGCGTGGTGAAAAATGGCGGTGGTTGGTTGGTTGGTTAGATGGATGGATAAAATATGTTCGTTGAAATAGGATTGAATTCAGTCGATGTTTTAGAAAGATGATGGTTCAGAGAAAAGTTGAAGAACGGGAGGTGGGTGGTGGAATAAAGTGGTGGTCGCACGTACGCGCGCGTACGCACGTGCGCACATAGGCACACGTTTAAAGTATGTATATGTATATGTATAGATTCTGTATAGCTTCTGTATATAATGCTTGCCAAATCGATCATTGATTTCGTTTTTATCCCTTCTTCCTTCACTAAAGAATTTATTCAATTATGTATATATATACACATAGGTATATGTACAATATACATATATATGTGAATATATATATATATATATATTTTTTTGTATTTGGATATTAATACTTATTTATTTATTACGCATCTCAACGTATTTGTTATTTTGTTCTTTTTTTTCGCAGAATCATTCTTTCAAACTTTCTTTCTCTCTCTCTCTCACACACACACACGCACACACACACATTCATACTATCATGTCTTCGCTCTCGCTCTTTCAAACCGCCTATTGCAAATATGCTTTTTTTCTACCTAATTGCTACGATAACTAATCTAAACAACAACAAG